GCCACATTTGCCTACAAAATGTACAGTGGCGACACTTTTAGAGCATATTCTGTGAAGCACTTGAGAGATCCTTCCCCCACACCCAGCCCACGCACACACACAACATGGAAGGCATATTTGTTATGACTTTTTAATGAAGATCTGCCCTGCTTAGGATGATCTGTACACACTGACCTAGGTTCTCACATCTCCATCCATGACTCATGTCCTCACATCTCCACCCACTGACGTTTCAAATCCGCCAGGTAGGGTAAGTACAGTCAGTTATCCTTCTGATACCTTATTCCTCCCTTCCCTCCCGGTCTCTGGCACCTATAACATAGTAATATTATTATTATATTATTAAAAGTACAGTCAATTATCCTTCTGATACCTTGTTCTTCCCTTCCCTCCCGGTCTCTGGCACCTAAGCCGTGACCGCATCCCACCTCTCCCCCTCCCACCAACCAACTCCATTTCATCTCAGTAAATGGTTTCTTCTCCCGCCCCCGCCAAGTCACATGTGGGCCTGGATGAGTGTAAGCTTCCTGCAGCTGAATATGCACAAGACAGAAGCCATACTCCTTGACTCCCATCAACGTCTTCACTCCTGCGGATCTAAACTCCTCAACCTCCCTGGGTTTTCCCTCAGACTCACCAAACCAGTGCGCAACCCAAGGCATCTGGTTCGACCCCCAGCTGTCCTTTCTCCCCCACATCCGGTCCCTGATCCGGACTGCCTTCTTCCACCTCCGCCACATTGCCCGCCTCCGTTCCTTACCCCAAATGCAGCCAAAACCCTCATGCATGCATTTGTCACCTCCCGTTTGTATTACCCCAACGCACTCCTCGCCCGTCTCCCCAGCTCCACCATTCACAAGATCAGCTCATTCAAAACTCTGCCGCTCGCATACTGACCCGGACCAAATTCCGTACTCACATCTCACCAGTTCTGGCCCAGGCTCCACTGGCTCCCCATCACCGAACAGACTGACTCCAAGTTCCTTACACTGGTGTTGAAATCCATTCACTCCCTGGCACCTCCCTACCTCTCCGGCCTCCTCACTCCCCAATCCACCACCCGGTGCCTCCGCTCGACTGGCAGCGGCTCCTGCTTGTTCTTCGCACCCTCTGCCCTACCACCGGAGATCCCACTTTCAGCCACTATGCCCCAAAACTCTGGAACACTCCCTCAATCCCTCCGTCTTGCCCCTCTTACCCCTCTTTCAAGTCCCGCCTAAAAAATTTCCTCTTTGCCCACGCTTACAGCCACGTCCCCCCGGCTCGGAGACAGGCTTTGTCACTGTTAAGTGCTCTGAGATGCTACCATGCGTGGAAGGTGCTATATAAGTGCACGCTCTTGATGTGAAATGTGACAGCCAGTGTCCCAAAAACAGTTGTGGATTGAGTAACTAAATTATTATTTTTTTGAAGGGACTATTATCCTCCCAGAAGCAATCCGCCAATTGACTAACAACCAGGTTCCTGTTTACTGCTAGGTAAACAGAGGCATGTGCAGAAAGGAAACTTGCCTAAGATTTCGCCCTGCCCAGAATCGAATCCAGGTGCTCTGGCTTGTGATACAGGTGCTCTAACCACAACTTTACTGGAATCCACAGCAAGAAAACAAGCGGTTAACAAAGAAAGAAATTGTCTGTTGTTGGGGCTGAGTCAAAAATGTTCTAACTATTGTAGCTTTGATTCTCTCTCTCAAAGACAAACATGCTTGAGGCATCAATAGCTTCTTGGAAGTGAAGGAGAGCTGAAGGAAAATCAGTGGACTGATTACATAATTTCAGAACACTACTTTAATTCATAAACTGTTCGGATATCCAATTTCTTTTTTTCTTTCTTGTTTTCTTGAAAATTCGCCAGTAGGTGAATTAATAATAATAATAATCCTTGCATTTGATATAGCGCTTTAATAATAATAATCCTCGCATTTGATAATCCTCGCATTTGATATAGCGCTTTTCACGTCTTCTAGACGTCCCAAAGCGCTTCACAGAATACACTGTAAAGTGAAATGACTGTATATTGGTGGACAAAACGCAGCAGCCAATTGCGCACAGCAGCGTCCCACAAACAGTTGTGGAATGAAAATGACCAATTTATTATTGTTTTGTTTTGGGGTGGTTATTATTAGGCGTGTGGGGTAAGGAAACTTGCCCTGCCTGGAATGTCTCTCACTTACAAAGTGAGTGCTCTAACCACTGAGCTACAGGACACATTGGGCAACCAGCTCCAGGAAACCGCCACACACTGCTTTGGAATGCGTGCCTTGAAGGAGGCAAGGAATGAAGGAATGAGGCGAAGAGAATGTAGGCTGGAGTTTCAGAGGGTGGGGAAGCGTTTGAGATGTCCTCCTGACGTGAATCTCTTGAATAGTGACACAGGATATTTAATGGCCAGACAAATACGTTTAATGCTTTACCTGAAGGGCGGCACCTTCAGCAATGCAGCGTTCTCCAGTAGAACCCTGGAGTTCCAGTCTAGATCATGAATCACAAGTCCTGAGTGGGGCTTGAACCCCCAATTTTCTGACCAAGAGGTGAGCGCTATCAACTGAGCCAAGCTGTGAGATACATATCGCTGCTGTATAATAGATAGTCTTAGCTGAATAAATAATAATCCTTGCATTTGACATCATACCCTAACATGTCAAAACATCTAAGAACACTTCAGAATTTTCTGTAAAATGTAATGAATTTGTCGGTGCTTCCCAGTTGCAGTCCATTGTTTTTTTTATATTACAAATAGATATTTCCAACAGGTCAGCTCGTCAATCAGTGCCTAGTGCGAAACAAAAGCTACCCCATAACACAGTGATAATTCATGCATCAGAATCAATTTGCCTACCCATCCAATCTACTGCAATATCTCTTTGTTTCTATGAAATGTCTTCAATATAAAGTTGGAAGAATAACATTCATGAGTTTATACAATGGCCTTTGCTGCAGTGACCTGGGCTTTAAGGATTAAGTAAGTAAGTAAGGGAAGCTCATTTGATGGAAACAATCACTAACTGGCGTGTAAACAAAATGTTTCCGCACTAAACAATGTTTCACGTAATCCACCTGAAATAAGAAACAAGCCTTGTAATGTGTAATTTTAATTATGTTGGGGATTTCTGAGAAGGAAGAAACAAGTCAATCATGTGAGTTTGTGGATTAGACTGACTTGTGTGCAATTCCTGTTAAGGAACTAACTGACGTGAATTAATGCCCTGTGAAGGGCTTTCACACACTCTGCCAAGGGACTGAAATATGGGAGAGAATTGTTATGACTTTCATCCAAGTCAGGTGGTTGTGTGGGTCAAGCCCCATGTTAAGACACTGAACTTGATACCTTGTTCTTCTCTTCCCTCCCGGTCTCTGGCACCTAAGCCATGACCGCCATCCCACCTCTCCCCCCCCCACCCCTGCGTTATCTTCCATAACACACTGTTATGCACAATTGGCTGCCGAGTTTCGCCCACAAAATATACAGTGAATTCACTTTACAATATATTTTGTGAAGCGCTTTGAGACGTCTCGAAGAAGTGATAAGGCGTTATGTTAAATCAAAGGATTATTATTATCTTCTGGTGAAACCTGGCAAACATCATTTGCCTATCTTGATTATTTTGGAAATCCTTACATTCACCCTTAATATGGAGGAACAATTAGATTTCAAATTAAGATTAGATTAAAGAATTTCCCCCAAGTTCTGCACAATCTCAAATTTTAAGGCAACGGTTTTAAAAATGAGATTCTAAGAAATGTTATGCCCAGTTAGGACCAGACCAGCCCTTTGTACAACACAATACACATTTACATTCATATAGCACCTTTCATGTCGGGAGGACATCCCAATCGCTAAACGGTATTGGCTTGACACCCAAACTGGAGGTGGGACGCATAAGGAAAGATAATAATAATCCTTGCATTTGATATAGCACCTTATCACGTCATTGAGATGTCTCAACGCTTCACAGAGTATATTGTAAAGTGGATTGACTGTTTCATTGTAAAGTGGATACACTGTGTATGAAAGATGACAGAAAGCACAGGCAAGCAATCACTATTGCATCTCTATCCTTCTAACTGTGTGGCCTAAGATCATGTTGCTTTCCTTGTTACTAGGCTCTGCGAGCCTATCATCCCCATCCTCGCCAGGCTCCACTGTCTCCCTGTCTCCCTGTCCCCTAAAAATTGAGTTCAAGGTCCTCGTCCTCACTTTCAAACCCTCCATGGTCTTGCCCCACTCTACCTCTGTGACCTTCTTAAACCCTACCAACCGTCCCATTCCCTCTGCTCGGTGGGCACTAGCCTCTTCACTTGCCTCTGAAGCGCTCTGGGACTCTACCATGCATGAAGGGCGCTATATAAATGTAATAATAATCCTTGCATTTGATGTAGCGCCTTATCACATCTTCGAGACATCTCAAAGCGCTTCACAGAATATACTGTAAAGTGAATTGACTGTATATTTTGTGGGCGGTGTCGTGGATTGAGTGACCAAATTATTTTTTTAAGGAATTCACCAATTGACTAACAACTGGGTTCCTACTTACTGCTAGGTAAACAGAGGCTTGTGGAGTAAGGAAACTTGCCCTGCTGGGAATCAAACCCAGGTCTCTCGCTTGCGAGACGAGTGCTCTAACCACTGAACTGCAGGACTCCAAATGTAAGTTGTTGTTGTTGTCCCCAGCCTGCCCATCCCACCATGAGAGATTACACCTTCAGCCTTCCTGCTGCCACTCTTTGGAATTCCATCCTCGAGTCCCTTCGCCTCATTCCTTCCCTCCCCTCCTTCAAGATTTGTGTCAAGACTAACCCTAACCTCTTTGACCGTTCCTTGGGTCATCTGCCTCTCCCATTCCCATTGGGCCAACCCCTCCCAAATCCAACCCCCAAACCAAGTGCAAACAGTTGACTTGGGACATCTCCCGATGTGAAATGTGCTGTATAAATGCAATTGATGTTGTCCTTATCATTGCAATCTTCTTGCTAGTGCGCACAACAAAAAAGGTAGCCATGTTCGAGTGCACAATCTTTATTCACTTGATTGTCATAAAATAAGCACCAAAGTTAAATGAGCTCCTTCATCCATTAAAAAATATAAAACAATCTACTTGTACAATTTTCTGCAAAAAATATTCAGTTTCCCAGAGGTGTTAATTTACAAAATATACAAGTGACCATTATTTTACGACCTTGTTGAGTTAAATATTAGTTGATTTATATATCAACAAGCTGAGAAGCAGATGTGCTCCCCCACAAAGGCCTTAACTTAACTTAACCATTCATCAATCTCTACACTTCAACGAGATTTAAAGTTCCTTACTAGCGTTCAGACACAACCAGAGGTAGTGATCGTCTTCATATACAAAAAAGGCATACCTGAGCAACAATAAATATTAACACTCTGTAATATATACACTGGCTGAAAGATTTATCAACATTGTATCTACAGTTATTAGTTTAAAAGTCATTAAAGATGGATACGCGATCAAATGCTTTCCATTATCTTCTCTTCAACAAATGAATGGTGCAATCTATCGTTTTATATACAGTTACATTGGGAGAAGGCAACACATTTACAATATACAGAACCAGCTTCATTAATCATGTCATTACAGAAACATTTGGTATTGATATTTTCTTTGTGTATTTACATGTTATTGGGTGTAGAATAATTTTCACTTGTCCCACAACCAGCTTTTCACCCTCAACGCATGAATAAATCATCTTCTCTGGTTGATGTTCATATTAACCATTTTGCTTAAACTAGGTGCCAAACATGAACTAACTTAATTAACTGATTTTAAGATTAATTTGTTCTGAGTCACTACCCTGCATGGAGGGCGCTATATAAGTGCAAGTTTTTGTTGTTTATTTGGTAAGTGTAATTAATTTGGACGTCCTCTTGACCTAAAAGGCACTATACAAATGTAATTTTGTATTCTTGTATTGTAGTGTACCTGTGTATCATTTGCAAAAGCTCCTACATTTCATCACATTCACTGCATTACAGTGCATATTTTGAGCAGACAGCACGAATAACATTATCAATGCTGATACACTATCAGCTGTCAAAACTGAGTTATGTTTTACTGAACTCCTGTCTTGCACTTGAAGTAGTAGCCCTTTTCGATTCTGTTTATACAATGAGTTCTCGGAGTCATTTTCTTTTCTAACTCGATGTTATCAGTGCTGTTTGCACTTATTTGTACCTCAATGACCTTGGTGGCAGCAGAGAAACACAACAACTCAAACTACAATGATCTGAACCCTAAGTTAGCAAAAACGTCCTGATTTCAATGAATCTTTGGTTCACTGTCAAAAGATTCTTATCTGTCAGAAGTAGAACACAGAATGATAGTTTAGTAGTTTGTATTCCCCTTCTAGGAAAGTATTCAGTTGTAATGCAAACCAGATGAGCCACAAATCTATCATGGATAAATAAACGATATTTTCTGTATTACTTGGAAACCACCAGTCATTAATGAAGTGTATTAACTGAGAGAAAAAAAACACTTGTCAAAAGCTCAGATGTAGCAGCTAGAGTGAAACATCAATATCCTCTGTGTGGGACAGATTGACTGATATTTGTTCTGTTAGTTACACACAATTGAATGCTAACTTCACTTCACTCCTGTACTGGGGATTTTCAGTCCATCTGCCAATTAATCAAGCTTGTTCTTCACTCGCTCAAAAATCTGCAGAACTTTTGCAGCTGGAACGCAGCCTTCCCTCAGAATCGTAATGCCATCTGGAGAACGAGGGTAAGATGTGTTAGAAAAGGAGTAAACCACAGCCAAAATTATTACTAAAGTGGACAACATTAAAACACTTCCTGATATATTGAAATAAGACCCCACCATTGATACGCTAAAATTTAAAAAGTTTCATCAAAATAAAGACTCAAAGACACAACGACCCCAGTCGTTGTTGGTTAAAGTCAGTTTATAATCAAATAATGATATCTGCATTCGATACTGCGCCTTTTCACATTGGGAGGATGGCTCAAAGCGCTTCACGTAATTTTACTGCAAAGTGTAGTGACTGTGTATTTAGTGCCAAATAATTAATACTATTTCTTAATGGGATTCTCTTGTAAGGATTATAATTAAAATTCCTGTTGACTTTCTCAGCAGAGTAACCTCAGCAGAGTAAAGTCTCAGTTTGCATGACTTGTTTCCTTATTAAGGAATCCTGTTGAGAAATACCGCAAATTAGACCCCAATGCAATCAATACGTGTTTCGACACAAAGTTTTCTTACCTTCATCGATTTTGGTGCAGTTGATAACAGTGGAGGCAACTAGTTCATTGGAGAACCCATCACACAACACCCCATCAATCTTATGGCCAAGACGTCTGTCAAAAGCAGGAACATGATGCTCAATAAAAACAATGTGTGCGATAACATAAATGCCAGTAATTACATCAAGCGTCATGTTCTCCATTGTCTAGATCTGTTGAAGTACTTACGAGATGACCATGTCGTGGTGGGTGCTATCGGGCTCTCCACTGGGGTTGGCTGACGTAATGGCTAATGGTCCAGTCATAGCCACAAGATGAGCTGTGACAGTGTGGTCAGGGACACGGATCATGATACTGTCCTTTGTGCCCACACGATCATAGGCTGCACCAATCCCTGTGATAGAATAACACAATCTGAGTACTACAACACGGTTACCAGAGTCTCTGAATATGACATATTAATGAAACACATCTATGATATCCATTCCCCAAATTAGGACACTGATAGCGTCCATAGGCATGAACAAAGGCTCTGGCATTCTGCACAGTCTGGTCCACATTACCTAATTTCCTCAGCCAATCTCCTTTCTTCACAATACAGCTGATGCCTCCAGGATAGACGTTCCTCATGAGCTCCCAGAGCAGGGGGCTGAATGGAGGATGCACAGCAATGAGTTGTTCTAGGTTGGAGATGCAGATACAGATGGGCTTCTCTGCAGGACGGTCCTGGAGAGATGGGAACAGTACTCGTGAATGAACAAAGACGTCAAAGAAACCCAAGGCTAAATGAGTGGCAATTCACAATGTTGTTGACTGTGATAATTGCAACATCAAAAGTGTCATAGGGCATCATCAATTTCAAGCCAACATTAAGTAGTGGGAATTTTTACTCTGGTAAGACTCTCTTCCCCAAAAGGCTGTGGATGCTGTATTCAAATTTTCAAGACTGAGGTGGATTGATTTTTTGTTAGGTCAGGGTATTAAGGGATATGAAGCAAAGGCGGGTAATTGGATTTGATGTACAGATAGCCATGATCTAATAGAATGGCGGAACAGACTCGAGGGGCTGAATGGCCTACTCCTGTTCCTATGTTCCTATGTGATATTTGGTATCAGCAGCAGCAAATGTGAGCCATATGAATGTAGTTTAAATGTGTCCCACTGGCTCTTGCTTTGATATTGTCCATACCTTGATGTTGTATATCTTTTCAATGGCCGCAGGGTGTTTGCAAGAAACTGCCAAAGCATAAACCGTGTCAGTGGGAATTCCACACACTTTGCCAGAGTCTACGATGTTTGCAATAGTCCGCAGTCCACTTGTCTTCTGGGAGGAAACGGTGGTGCATGTAGCCAGGATCTGCTCATCATTTTCGCGTTTCCTTGGCTGAAATTAGTGGATAAATATTATAATGTATTCCAGAAGAAGGAAAATCATTAATTTCAACTGTAAATTACTCTAATCAAAGCTGTCTTTGGAAGCATACACATATGGATGCAATATGTTATCATCCATGCATTTAATTCAGCACCTTATCGAGTCATCAGAAAATCCCAAAGCACATGATGCTTTACTTTCAAATTAAATCATTAATTTAAAACATGCCTGACACGGCATGAAGAATGAATTGTTGAATTAAACAAAATGCTCCTGCATGTATTTCACTGTGTTCCATTTACCTTGAAGAGAGGGCTCCCCAGAGGAATGAGCTGCTTCCCAAATGTAGAGTTGGCAAAAGCTGCAAAGGCTCCGTACACACAGACAAGGCTGAACAAGCCGAGCATCACGCCTGGGGATTGACACAAGAGGGAAATGGAGCTCAGTGTTTAAGGTAACTACAAAGATAGCTGCGGTTTGATTACAAAGGTAACTTGAGTCGAAGACTCACCTTCCAACGGCAGAGGCAGGCGTTCCACAGTAAACAGGAGAAAGCAGATGATTACCACTTCCATTATGACTGTGAGCACGAGCAGCACAATGTTAACATAGGTAGCTGTGAAAAGATTGAGAGAGAACAACTGTTCAGCTATGATGCTTAATTTTAAAAGTATAATATCTATAATAATAATAATAATAATAATTTGGTCAATCAATCAAAGACTGTTTGTGGGACACTGCTTTGTGCAATTGGCTGCCGCGTTTCGTCCACAAAATATACGGTCAATTCACTTTACAGTATATTCTGTGAAGCGCTTTGAGATGTCTCGAAGATGTGAGTAGGCGCTATATCAAATGCATTATTATTATTTATTGATCAAATGCTCTAATTGACCAGAACTTGGATTAGAACACTCACCTAAGAAAATTAGAAACATGTTGACGATGAGGAAGGCTATGGCTCCTGCGGTGAATGCATCATCAGATGTGGGGCCAATGGCTAACAACTGTCCTGTAAAGAAATCATATTTACCAAGTTCATTATAATGAGGCATAACTATAAGCAGATGACATTATTATAAGTGTCACTGAGAAAAGCGCTAACATTTCACACTGAGGCTTGATGACCTCAATATTCTCGTTTTCCTATCTAATGAAGAAGAATAAAGTTTGATTTTCCAATATGAATATGACATGGTTTTACATGTTAGTGTACAGCACAGCACTGTTTATTTTAGTGGGTTAATGTGTAGGTCAGTGATATGCTTAGATTTGAATGATAGCTAATATGCCGCAGGCAATGAGGTAACCCATGCATGTCTTCATTTTTAATCAGGGTAATGAAAATACGTGAGTGTGTGTTATTAACAAAATGATCTACTTTGCCTGCTCCATATCCCAAGCTCTGCCTGCTTCGCTATTGGTGGTCAGGCATTCAGCCTTATTGGCCCCACCCTCTGGATCTCCATCCCGGAACCCCTCTGCCTCGCCCCTTCCCTTGCCTCCTTCATGATCTTGTCTTACGGCCCTCATTTTCGACCGGACCTTTGGTCATCTTACCCCCACCTTGCCCTCCACCCCTAAGCCACAACCCCCAGCAAACCCCTCATTGACCAGCTCCTTGGGACATCCTCCCGCCGTGAAAGACGCTGCATAAATGCAATTTGTTTGGTTGGTTAACGTGCAGTACTCGTTCCCAAATGTACCTGCAAATCGTAGCCAGGTCCACGTTGCCCAGACGATTGCGTAACTGAATGGCAACACGGAGCCAAAGCGTTTCCCTCCTTGGACTTGAATCCTGGACACGTAGAGTTGGATCAGGGTTCCTGGGATCAACACCCAGGGGATGGTCAGGTGAGCGTAAGTCTGGTCTCCGGTTGTACTCTGGATGGCCGACAGCGCTGCCAGCCCATTACAGATGTAGAAAAGGGCATCTGGGAGATAGGCACTCGTGGAAGACGGGAGCTCCTCAGCTCTAGTGAGGCAACGTTTCAGGGCAAATAGGACATTCTGAAATGTGGCTGAGGATAGGACTTGAGTCCCGATAGGGATCAGAGCCTTCTCCGCAATCGAGTTAATTAAACTGGCAAATGTTGCATAGAGAGAGAGAGCTACATACACAGCACACATGGCACCAAAGAAGTTGTAATACTGTGTACTGTTAATCTGAGGGATGGTGGAGATGGTGAGAAGGATGAAGACACTATTGTGAATGATCTCCAGTATGTCCTTATTGAGAGACATCAGGCACAGGATGAGAGCAGTGACCAGGAAAAACCAGTCCCCCGCCATCCTCACTCTGCTGTTGTCCACATTACTCACGTTGATCAGCACGCTTAGAATAAACTCCTCCCAGGACTTGACCAGCCAGAATGTAGCATGGACGCCAAACTTAGTTGTGAAGAATACATCACCCCGCAAATAAGCATAGTAGCTAGCAAGAAGCTGTGACAGGGAATTGATGCTGATCCACACGGCACCAACATAGAAGGAGTTTAAGTAGCCGAAGCAGTAAAAAGCAAAGATAAAGGGAGAAATCACATCACACAAGACGCCCAGTGCCATTGGCTCAGCATATTTTGTATTCTTTTTCTTCTCTTCCCCAATACTCTTAGCAGAGGACTTGTTTGCTGCCCCCAACAGCAATACATTAAACAGAGAGTTGCCAAAGCCAGGGAGGACATATCTTTGGGTGATTCCCTTTAAAAGGAGCGCAGCGGCTCCGTAAAGCCCAAACAGAACGATTATTAACTCAAAGATTCCTGACACTATGAACGCCCATTGGCCAAAGAGCCCCACCGCCTCGAAGACTAGTGTGATCGTTATAGCCCCGAACACAAAGGGCATGATGTAATTAGCTGTGGCCGAGCAGAAGGTCAAGATAAAGGCCACGCTGATGTATGCTACCAGCCCTGCAACAGCTGACTCGGTGACAGGAGGCACGGCAACGCTTATGCTATAATTTACGGCGCTGCTGTTGTTTTGTAGGGATGGAGGGAGGGAGGTGGTGTTATAGAGTGCGAGGTTCGCTCCCTGAATAATCCGAGTTGCCCCAAAACTGCTCCAAAGAGCTGAGAAGGCCACAAAGGCAGTGCCTCCCAGATGATCATACTTTCTGAAGGTTAACAAACCAGCAACAAGTTGCATCACTCCCCCGATTAAAATCAGGTGAACACCTAGGGAAAACACAAAATGGAGGTTGAATGAAAAGTGTATCAAAATTCCTCTAATCAAACTTGTAGATACGATTTTGAATAAATACCTTCATGCATACCCCAAGCAACCAGGAAATGGAATTCATTTTTCGAAGTCACATTGGCATTGGCANTTTTTTTAATACACTGAGCAAACAGATACACCGGACGCAATGCTGCATTGTTTGGTTACAACCAGAGGGGAGATGAGGAGAATTTCTTTTACGCAGCGAGTTGTTATGATCTGGAATGCACTGCCTGAAAGCGCGGTGGAAGCAGATTCAATAATAACTTTCAAAAGAGAATTGGATATATCCTTGAAAATAAATAAATGCAAGACTATGGAGAAATGGTGGGGAACTGGGACTAATTGGATAGCTCTTTCAAAGGACTGTCACAAGCGCGATGGGCCGAATGGCCTCCTTCTGTGCTATAAGGTTCTATGATTCTATGGCTACATTCTGCCTTTCAATCACATTCCACCTTTGTTGTGTAAAGCATATTTTTACAAAAAAAATTGTAGATTAGTGAAGAAAGCTTCCATCCTAAAACATTTTTCTAATGCAATGTTAGGACGCGATAATATTGAGGTATGAAATGCAGCGATTTGCAATAGGATCCTTTAAACATAGAATTATGCAAGAATTCCATCTGATACCTAGAAAGACGTCATGTATATTACAGTGACTCATGGGAACTCTGCTCTGAAAACATCCCTTATGTCAGTGTGATGTATTTCCAGGCTCCTTAATTCAGGAATCTTGTTCAATGGCAACTCCATTATTGCCATTGTGAGTGAGTGGGACCCTACCCTAAGTGAGGGGCACTATCTAAATGCAAGTTGTTGTTGTTGAGTTCACCAATGGGGAAATACCTGAACATTGTGATATGTGGACAAGCTCTCACTCACCTGCCAGGATGTTTTCGATGCCATTGGCCACAATGTTGGTATTGACGAGAGTGAAGTTCTGCAGGGCTACAAGGAAAGCGCTTATCACGTTGGCCAAAAGCCCCAGGACCCCGGGTTCGGAATAAAAGATGGCAGCGAAGCCTTCTGAGCTGGACATTGTCTTCGAATCTGCGATGAATGAAGTGCAATGCAAGTTAGTCAACGGACAGTTCGGGGCCTAAATTGTGACATTTGCAAACCACCACCACCAACAACAACAAAATTACATTTGTAAAGCGCCTTTCATGTCAGGAGGACGTCCCAAGGCGCTGGACAGATAGAGTTACGGACCCAAGCTTGGGGTCGAGATCAGGGAGGGTGGAGGGCAGGGGGGCGAAGCAGGGTGATCGAAAGCACAGTCGGAGAGGAAGGTCTTGGGATGGGTCTTGAAGGTAGCAAGACTCGTTATTATGTTATTTGCAGTTTGCCAGCCAAAATATAACATCAACCATCAACAGATTCCCAAGATGGCAAAGGCAGAAAGTCGGAGCATGAGGCTTGACTTCAGATTGGATTGCATAACCTCGCAGTTCAATTTTCCAAACCACAATATTGAGAATATTCCAAAAATAACTGTGGTCATTCAATCCACAACGGTTTGCATGATTGGCTGCCGCGTTTCGCCCACAAAACGCGCAGTCGATTCAGTTTACAACATATTCCGTGAAGCACTTAAGAGACGTCTCAATGACGTGATAAGTAAAAAAAAGAGTTTGCGTTTAAGAAAAATATCAATTGCAAAATAGACTCCATTGCCTTTAATTCCAAACATACACCCAAATCTGACAAGTATTGCTGATCAGGAACACCTGAAAAGAGACAGTCCATTTGCTGTACTGCAGAAACTCATTTTAGGTGGCAACTGCATTTCCTTACTAAAAAGCGAGAGCCAATTGGAGCAACTGAGTTAAGTTAGCTTTCTCAAACGCTTTTATACCCTCTGTAATACAACAACCCCTCTCTCTGCACCAAACCCCAACATGTGCTTCATTTGCCTGAAACGAACATTTGATTGTGGTGGATGGTTTGACCAGTTTCACTGCACACTGAGCCCAGTCTGGGTGTTACTCAGCTGCAGTAGAGGAAGTATGACAGGACAGGGCTTAAGCACAGACATTATTTAGGAAGGAATAGCTGAGTCTTAAGGGTAAAACGCTCCAATAGCGCCATCTGCGATGTGAACAGAGTGTTGGTTCAATACCAGGTCCCTATTAACAGTAACAGTCATTTGTGGTGAGTTACATGTGCACCCAATCACTTTCTCCTCTACGATAACGTACTGCTTTATAAACCTGCAACAAATCATTGCTATAAAACCCATTATATAAGCTCATAACCCCCCCCCACCCCCCCACCCCCCACCCCCGGAGTATTCCAAATTAACAGTTTTTCTTAAACGCAAACTCTTTTTTTTTTACTCCCTCCTCCCCCAAAAAAAAAATATTCTTGCTGTAGTTTATTTGGTTTGCTGGTTAGAAATGAAACCAAATATTTTAGTTGCAGGACAAACGTCCCCACGAGTAAAACGACGCTTAAAACTTCTGCCCGTTATTAACCTGTCGCCTTTTGCTTATTGACAAATCTTATATAATAATTTTATAACGTTTCCTGCCCCAGGTTCAATGGCATCTTACCTACCAATGTGCAAGTGCAGTCTTGTCCCAGCCTCTTGGTAGTAAGTTCTACCAAACCACAGCGTTGCCCAACCTTATAACAACTCCCAGGGATGGGAGGAGGGAGTAATAACAGGGAGGGGATTCCATTACAGCATTGAAACATACAACGATTTGCTTCTTTAGTTTCATTTTACGTCACCAGAACTTCCTTATGTGGCAATTCCTCAGTTTTCTCTGCTTCGATCCAAGAAAGGTTTCCCTGATAGGCATTGTCAATCCACAGTCCAGAGAATTAGACTGATTTAGCTGGAGTGTAGTTTTTCCCTTGATTGTTTCTGTTTTTATTGCTTCCAAATACCTCCTTTTAATAATGATGTTTGCCTTTGGTGTCATGCCTTTTCCATCACCAGATTTTCTCAAACAGTTGCTCTCGTAACTCAAGAGTTACTGAGCTGTGGAGTGACGGTAGTCGAATGCGCCGGGCCAATATTGCACATGGCAATGTCTCGTTAAGTAAATTACATATTTTATTGAGATATTGTTTGCCAGGAGACTGGGAGAAATGTCTCGCCAAGGTTAATGTCTCGTCATATTCAATCCCAGTCATTGTACACTAATGGTGCTAAATTTCGTTTTGACCATTGTCCAATACTTTACCACTAACTATTTTGGGCGTCATTCGCCATTACCTGCAGATGTTCTAAGGCAAGCTTGTGGAGAACAAAACCTTCTTGTAGAGCAGAAAGACAAAACTTCAATTGATCTTGATTTTCCATATAAATACAGAAACTTCACAATCCTTCTGGCGTTTGGGGTTTTAAGCAGGAGGTGTTAGAAACGTAACCACAGTGAATCATAGAATCATACAATTTTACAGCAGAGAATGAGGCCATTTGGTGACGGCTCTTTGAAAGAGCTATCCAATTAGTCCCACTCCCCCACTCTTACCCCATAGCCCTGCAAGATTTTCCTTTTTAAGTATCTATCCAATTCCCTTTTGAAAGCTGTTATTGAATCTGCTTTCACCATCTGGATGTGGGTGGGATACATGGAAATCTCAGCTTGATTTGGAGACTACTAAGCATACGTATATACATACGTATATGTCTCTCCTCTCTCTCGCTCACTCCCTCTCGCCTCTTTCCCTCTGTCTCCCCTTCCCCTTCTCTCTTCCCTTCTTCTCTCTTCCCGACTCTCTCTCTGTCTCTGATGGGTTTCCGCATGTATCAGGCTGTGATGTACTGGTAATGATAATAATAATAATCCTTGCATTTGATATAGCGCCTTATCATGTCATTGAGACATCTCAAAGCACTTCACAGAATATATTGTAAAGTGAATTGACTGTATATTTTGTGGGCGATGCTGATCTCTCTCTCTGTCTCTGTCTCTGATGGGTTCCCACTTCCATGTGAGACAGCAGGTTCACACTGAAGAAGAGAAGGTTCAGGGGTGATATGATTACTCGTTGCAAGTGAGAGGAACTCGGTTTGATTCCTGAGCAGGGCGAAACGTTCGGCAAGTTTCCTTACTCCATGCACATACCTCTGTTTCCTTAGCAGTAAGTAGGAACCCACTTGTTAGTTGATTGGCAGATCTCTTTTCCGGTAATAATAATTCCTTCAAAAAAAATGTGGTCACTCAGTCCATGACTGTGTGTGGGACGCTGCTGTTCACAATTCGCTGCAGCGTTTTGCCCACAAAATATACAGTCAATTCACTGTATAGTATATTCGGTGAAGCGCTTTGAAATGCAAGGATTATTATCCTTTCAGGCAGTCCATTCCAGGCCGTAACAACTCTGGGTAAAAAAAATGTCTCTTTGTTTCCCCTCTGGTTCTTTTGACAATTATCATAAAACTGTGTCCTCCAGCTATTGACCCACCCTCCAAAGGAAACAATTTCTCCTTATCTACTCTATCAAAACTCCTCAGAATTTTGAATCTCCCTTCAACCTTCTCTGCTCTAAGGAGAATAATCCCAGCCTCTCTAGTCTCTCCCCACAACTGAAGTTCCTCATCACTGGTATCAGTGTCAGAAAAGTCACCCCAGGGATATCTGGCTTGTGGTGGGCAAGTGTTCATAGCATGAACGCTTTTTAATTCTTTGATGTCAGCGCTTCCTATCATTGTGAAGCAGAATTCACCAAGTATTGGATTGTTCATCCACTAATAGGGAACGTGAGCTGAGATTAGACCTTCATGAGACAGGTTGGTTTTACTCTACCAATGATGTGTTGTTAATAGTTAAAAGTGCACTGATTATTATAATAATAATAATCCTTGCATTTGATATAGTTCTTTTCATGTCTTTTAGACGTCTCAAAGAGCTTCACAGAATATGCTGTAAAGTGAATTGACTGTATATTTGTGAGTGAAATGCGGCAGCCAATTGCGCACAGAAATGTCCCACAAACAGTCGTGGATTGAAATGACCAATTTATTATTATGTTTTTTTGAGGGATTATTATTAGGCGTGTGGAGTAAGGAAACTTGCCCAAGGTTTCACCCTGCTGGGAGTCAAACCCAGGTCTCTCCTGAGCTACAGGATTCCACTGATTGATGTATTACACTGACAACAACAATAACAATATTTCATTTATAGAGCGCCTTTCACGTCAGGACCCGTGGAGAGAGTCACGTAGTCCAGCCTAAGGGTGATAAAGGCGTGGATCAGTGTTTCAGCAGCCTGATGGGTGAGACGGGAAATGCTTTGTGAGTGAGCACTGACTTTTCACCTTGGAATCTAGGTCTGCATTTCTCTCTGCCTTGCTTCAGAGAATTGCAAAGCGTACCACTGCTATGTTGCCCCACAGGTTATGTTGTATTCTGGCCCATCGAGTATCAATAGCTGATAGGTATGAACAATGTAATCACATAGGATAAGGATCTTAGCATGACTTCAATGGAACAGATGAAACAATGAGGAACGTAATCTGGTCAATTGCATCAACAGAAAGAGCAAATATGTTGACACCCGAGTTTCCAAATAATCCTATGTGACGTGTCCGAACTGTCAGGTACCAAATGATGTCTCTGTCTGTAGAGTAGAGTTAGACCAGGGCGTGGGTATTATTGGATTGTTGTCCTTCAGATGACTATCTGCCTATGATCCTGTTTGCCTGTGGATGTTAAAGATTCCATGGCACTCTTTGAAAAGAGAGGGAATTTTTCACGGGTCCTGGACAACAATGCCCCAAATAAAGTTGGTCACTCACTCCATTAGCTCTGTGAGACATTGCTGTGTATAGAATTGTCTGCTGGATTTGCCTATGAAACACCCAGTCACGACATTTCACAGTATATCTGGTGAAATGCTTTGAGATGTCCTCCTGGCACGAAAGACACAATATCAAATACAAAATGTATTTATTTTATTCAGAGCCACTGAAGATCTTTCCTTAGGTTTCTCCTCTATTGAGGTATTAGATGTTTGTGAGTAATGTTCCTCCTCCATCGTACATAGGTTTCACTGGGTTGACTGGAGTTTGTGACTGGACTATTGTTTGGGTGCCTGGTGAAACCTATCACTATGCTTTAAGGCATCAACATAGGAGTTTCTCTGTGCCTGGAATAGATTATGCATTTCCCTGGAGGGACACTCCTTGTTTATCAAATTACCTTTTACGAGGTGAGCAGCCAAGTCTAATGTTCTTCTGGAATTCTGGAACTCTCTTCCTCAATCCCTCTGCCTTTCTCCCTCCCTCCCCACCTTCAAATCCCGCCTAAGATCTTTCCTTTTGATCTTGCTCCCCCCTCTCTCTCCCCCCCCGGCTTGTTGTCAGACTCCGCCACTGTGAAGCGCTCTGGGAGGCTAACCTGTGTGAAGGGCGCTATATGAATGCAAGTTGATGTTGTTGCAAGGAGTGATATTTTTTCACAAATGACAGACTGACATACCGGTCCATGTGAAATGCGTTCAGTAGATTTAAAAAATATATAGATTTATCGTCCTGCATTTGATATAGCGCCTTATCACGTTGTTGAGACGTCTCAAAGGGATTCACGGAATATATTGTGAATTGATTGATTGACTGCATATTTTGCAGGCAAAAATGCGGCAGTCAGTTGCGTATAGAGCAACACTCCCCCTTGCTAAGCCAGTCCGGAACCTTGGGGTCTTGTTTGACCCTCAACTATCCTTTCTGCCCCACATCTACTTCAAGACACCTCTGCCTTCCCCACCTCCGCAACGTTGCCCGGCTCCGACACTGTCTCATACCGCAGGCCGCCAAAACCCTCATTCATGCCTTCATTACATCGAGGCTCGACTATGCAAACTCACTGCTTGTCGGTCTCCCCAACTCCTCCCACCACAGGCTGCAGATCATCCAGAACTCTGCAGCCCATGTCCTCTCCCGCACCAAACTCCGTGACCCCATCTCCCCCAACCTCACCCAACTCCACTGGCTTCCCATCACACAGAAGATCCTGGTCCTCACCTTCAAAGACCTCCACAGTCTTGCTCCCCCCCCCACCTCCCCGACCTCCTAACCCCCTACCACCCTGTTCGCTCCCTCTGCTCAGCGGGCTCTGGCCTGCTTCACGCCCCCCCTCCTTGCTTGCCCCACTATTGGTGGGCGGACCTTCCGCCACTCTGCCCCCACCCTCTGGAACTCCATCCCGCAGTCCCTCCATCTCACCCCCTCCCTCTCCACCTTCAAGACCCTCCTCTTCGACCGTGATTTTGATCTCCCTGCTTCCCCCCCTTGCCCTCCACCCTCCTCCACCCCGACCCCCAGCTCGGGTCCGTAACTCTATCTGTCCAGCGCCTTGGGACATCCTCCCGACGTGAAAGGCGCTTTACAAATATAATTTTGTTGTTGTTGTTATTGCCCCACAAACAGTCGTGAATTGAGTGACCGCATGTTTAAATTTTTGGGGGGTGGGGAGGGGGTAATTATTCCCTCATTAAAATGGCCACATGTGCCTCTAACAAGGGGGGTTTAAACCAAAATGAGCAACTCCCCCCCCCCCCCACCCCGTTGTGACTGACTCAGGCTTCGGATGGCAAGTCCAACAGCAAAATAATACAGCTATGGGATGCCGGAGTCTGCACTGCTGGTGCCCCCTAGTGGAGCTCAGAGGTATCGACCCCTGTGTGTGGTTCAACACAATCCCCCAAAAGAAATCAGAACCAAATTTGTTTTTTGGGTGGAGGAGGAAATAAAAGCATCTTTCTGTGACCAGAAGAGGGTGGTGATTGCGTGATTCCTGGTCTGGAGTGTCTCAGGGGGTGTGTCTGGAGTACCTCCCGTTGTTCTTCCAACTCATAACAATAATAAACTTATATGAAGATATAATATGAGATGGAGAATTATCTCTCTCTCTCTCTCTCTCTCCACTTACTCACATCGGGGAAGCGACTTAAGTGCGATCCGCAGATGGAATGAGGGCCAATTAACGGAAAAAAGGGAAATTCCACTAAGTTGAATTATGCAACTGGTCTTTGCTCTGTGATCACGACTTCACATTGGGAGGAGAAAGTGACGTGCGCTCAACCTCTCCTCCAGCCCCCAAAGCTGCTGCATAAATACAGGGATGGCTTTCAGGAGGAGGACAGAGAGAGAAAAAAAGTTCTTCTGAAGATTTCCTTTGGCTCAGGAGCAGCAAAGCCACACTCTCACTTGCTCTGCCAAGATGTTCCTCAAATTGCGGGTAAAGAGTTTTGAGAAACTTTCTCAAAAGTTGGGGAAACTTTTGCTGTGTCTTATTCGTCTGCAATGATCTTTATTTGCGACAAACGCTCTTTATCTTTGTCTTGTGTGTGTTTTTTTTTGAATGTATGTTTTGCAAATGGAATTGTTTTGTTGCCAAAGCCTTAATTTTTTTTCTCTCTCTCTCTCTCTCTTTCTTTCTCTCTCTCTGTTTTGTTTTGTTTTTAGAAATTTCCACCTGGCTTCTCAGCTGGCAAGAGACTGTATCACAACACAGCCAGGCAAGGTAAAACTTCTGTCAGACTTGCTCTTTGGGAAATGCACTGGTTGTTGGATAATAATAATAACAATCATGATAAAAAATAATCCTTGCATTTGATATAGCACCGTCTCGCAGGGTTGAGATGTCTCAACGCGCTTCACAGAATATACTGTCAAGTGAATCGACTGTATTTTGTGGGCGAAACACAGCAGCCAATGTCCCGCAAACAGCTGTGCGTGCGGAGGGAAAGGAAAAGTGCAAAGCCTGAACGTTTAGCTGTTGTGTACATTGAGTCTGCTTTAGATCTTTATTGGTCGGATGCAACATAGAATGGTTCATTGAAATCCTAGTAGGTTCGCTTTTCAACAATTCTGTTTTGAATGATTTACATTTGAAATCTCTAAAATGGGTTAATTCCCAGCCAATCTGGGGAGCATATAACATGATTCCTCCTGTTACTTCATAACTTTTTAGCACAAATCCTTGCATTTGATATAGTGCGAATCACAACATTGTGACATGATAAGGCTATGAGTCTCAAAGCACTTCACAGAATATATGTGACAGAATATAAAGTGAATTGACTGTATATTTTGTGGATGAAACAAGAAATACAACGCAAGTCCAGTTAGGACCCATACACTAGTGGAGTTACCTGACCCTATCTTTTGGATAGAAACATTAATTCATGTGAAAAATCATGTAACATTAAAGCCTCTTATTTTGGTGTGTCCTTATAGAAATTTCAATCTCACACAGTGCTGGCGATTCCAAAAGAGAGTAAATATAGTAAATAAATTAAAATAACAGTATTAGGAGAAATCTATTTGCAGATGATTCCATGTTTGCTGCCAAGAATGCGAAACAAGATATATTTAATTGGTTCAAAGGTATTTTTTGTCTGTGTAAATGAAACTTATTCTTTTAACTCCTTGTCTCCCCGCAGTGTTCGAGAGTCCGAATGTGAAGGAGAGCGTGACGGAGAGTTTTGGCTCGTTCATATCTCAAGTGCAAACCAACCATCTCACAGACACAGTCCTACATAGGAGCAAGCGGATGATCCTTGATAACATTGGAGTCGGACTGCTGGGAAGCACCACCCAAGTCTTTAACATTGGCCTGAATTACTGCCAGGTAACGCGGAGAAAGAAAGCGCATGAAAACTTTAACACTTTAAATGTGACCACTCTAGGGCCATCAACGTTTCTTTGTGAATGCAATCAGTAAAACATTCACTGCTAAAACATTCAGCCACTATGTCCTGGAACTATCTCCGTCCGTCCCTCCCTCCCTCCCTCCCTCAATCCTTCTGCCTCGGGAACCACCTTCCCCATTTTCAGATCACGTCCCAAAACCTTCCTCTTTGACTTCCTCCCCACCCAGCTTGGCATCAGACTCCTCCAATGTTAAATGCTCCGAGATGCTACTCTGCATGAATCACGGCTAATAATCCCCATAAAAATCACGCATCTGTGGAACACACTGTATTATGCGCTAATTAAATGCAAGTTATGGTTGATGTTCACTGTTCTATAACGAGACAGGGGTGAGGTGGGCTTATGACCACTGTAATGTTTGTGTCATTTGAACACAGCAGGCTCTTGTCTGGAGCAGATTTCCTCAAAACATTCCCAGGAACATCGTGAATCATTGCCTGACCTAAGCCAATGTCGTGGCACCCATCCACGTTAGTGCGGCTCATACCAATTCCAATTCAGATTCCCGGCAGGGCGAAACCTTGGGCAATTTTCCTTACTCCACACTCCTAATAATAATCCCTCCAAAACCAAAAACAATAATAAATTGGTCATTTTCAATCTACGACTGTTTGTGGGACATTGCTGTGTGCAATTGGCTGCCGCGTTCGCCCACAAATATACAGTCAATTCACTTTACAGTGTGTTCTGTGAAGCGCTTTGGGACGCTCTCCCGACGTGAAAAGCGCTATAAAAAAATCCAAGGATTATTATTATATTATTATAATTCCCGCCTATTCTGAAACTATTTTGTCGTCAACAGAAAATGTTTGCACAAGATCCAGTCAGCTCTGTGTATGGTCGGCAAGGCTTGAAACTCTCTCCGGCAATGGCTGCCTTCGTCAATGGAATTGCGGTGAGACATCTTATCATTATATATTATATATAGAGTGACTTTTCGGCTTGACCTTTGTTTGCTTAAAATAGTGAGGGGGGGGCAACATTTTTTAAAATTATCGGAAGTATTTAGACTACATGTTGGGGGGAGGGAATTTAAATTACAGTGGTCATCCTTAAATTGATGAATACATCTGCAGAGCATCAGATTTCTAACAATTAGAATCCAGTGAGGCACCTTATATCTTATCTTCATAGTCACACCACGTGAACTATTAAGATAAAATTACTTATCTCCCACTGAACAGAGGCAATCATATCTTGGAGCCCAGCCCTGCACTCACCAAACAGTGGCACATATTGGTTAATATTTTTGTTATCATATTATGATTAATATTTAACAATCTCTCACTATCACAGAAGTGGACTTACTGTGGAGGAAGTGAGAGAGAGAGATAGAAGGGAGTGAAAGAGAGAAGGGAGAGAAATAGAAAGTTAGAAACTGATTTATAAAGGGAGATAGAGAGTGAAACGAGAAAAAAAACTGAGGCAGGGGAAAGGAAACAAACCACATTTTTACCGCAAGTCCCATCTGCAGCCAAACTAAATTATTTCTAAATGCAATCTTACTTTGTGTAACCTCTCTCTCTTTTTAAATCTGTTTCCAACTTTCTCTCTCTCCCTCTTTACAAATCTGTTTCTAACTTTCTCTCTCTCCTTTTTATAAATCTGTTTCAAACTTTCTCTCTCTCCCTCTTTATAAATCTGTTTCAAACTTTCTCTCTCTCCCTCTTTATAAATCTGTTTCAAACTGTCTCTCTCTTTCCCTCTTTATCAATCTGTTTCTGACTTTCTCTCTCCCTCTTTTCAAATCCATTTCTCTCTCTTTTTCCCTGCACATATTATCTCAATCCTTTAAAAGTCACGATTCTCTTTCCCTTTGTGATGTTCTTGTTGGCAGCCTGGTTGATCTGTCAGATTGCTGGGGGGAGTTAGTCTGAATGTTGCCTTTCTCTCCTGCTCAGGTCCACTCCATGGACTTTGATGACACCTGGCACCCTGCTACCCACCCCTCGGGTGCTGTATTGCCTGCTCTCCTTGCTGCTGCTGAGATGTTGCCCCCAGGCTCCAAGCCCACTGGCCTGGACTTACTGCTCGCCTTCAATGTGGGGATAGAAATCCAGGGCAGACTGATGCGCTTCTCCCGAGAGGCTCACAACATCCCCAAAAGGTGAGATTCTGACACTGCGCTGCTTTGCACAGGTTAATGGTGAACAGGTCAAATGAGCCACATAGATCCCTTCATTTACAATCCTAACATTTGTTTGGATACATGTGTTAAAAGGAAGCTCCTTTTTATTTGCAGTGGAGTACAGGTTAATACTCTTATATCATTCAAACTTTCATGTGGGCTGGATGGTGGACAATAACATGTAGATACAAACGTACAGACAAATTAAGTGATAAAGCTTGAAATAAACGTGGAACCAACTATTCACCCCAGAGAGTATTTTTGCAAAGAAGCAACCACATAATAATCATAATAATCATTGTATTTGGTGTGGCTCATCTCAAAGCGCTTCACAGGATTCACTGTAAAGTGTAATGACTGTGTTCTACAACCCAAAGGTCGAGAAAGTCATTATTAGGAATAAATATTAAAATAGCTGATCGATGGACAATTTGGAAACGTTAGCGAGAGGGTTTTGCTCTCAGGGAAAACAAACAACAAGAAGATTAAAAACATTGCAGAAACAGAAACACATGATGTGTTGAGTTAAATCCCGAATGTGATGAATGGTGAGAAATGAAGGAAACTGAATGACCCGTGAATTGCCATGTTCTGTTTTTGTTTTTAAACAGGTTCCACCCTCCCAGTGTAGTGGGGACGATGGGCAGTGCTGCGGCTGTAGCTAAATTCCTGTCTCTGAACCAGAACCAGTGTATGAACGCTCTGGCCATTGCCGCTTCCCTGTCGGGGGCACCCATGGCCAACGCAGCCACTCAAGCCAAACCCATCCACATCGGCAACGCCACCCGCCTGGGCTTCGAGGCAGCCGTGCTGGCCTCCAATGGCATGGAGGGCAGTGCCAAGATCCTAGACGACATCCCAGGTTGCTTTGGGTTCGGTGCCTTTTATGGCGATTACCAGCCTCAGCCACTGGCCCCGGTGGAGGAGACCCGCTTTCTGCTGGAGGATCAGGATATCGCGTTCAAGCGCTTCCCGGCTCACCTGGGCATGCACTGGGTGGCAGACGCCGCTGCTTCGGTCAGGGAGCTGATGATCACCAATGAGGGCTCCTTCTCCCCCTCCATGATCGACAGGATCATCCTGCGGGTCCCCGCCTCCCGCTACATCAACAGGCAGTTCCCAGAGTCGGAGCACCAAGCCCGGCACTCGTTCCAGTTCAACGCCTGCTCGGCCCTGCTGGACGGGGAAGTGAATGTGGAGTCGTTCAGCGAGAGCCAACGCTGCCGCCCCGAGCTGAGCCAGCTGCTCCACCAAGTGACCGTCCAGCATCCCGACAACAACCCGGCCAACTTCGAGAAGATGTACGGCGAGGTGGTCCTGGTGCTCAGCAACCGGGACGTGCTCAGCGGAAGGTGTGACACTTTTTACGGACACTGGCGGAATCCACTGTCCAGAGAGTCGCTGCTCAGGAAATTCACCAAGAATGCTTCGCACGTGTTGGAGCAGGAGAAGATCGAAGCCATCATTGACACAGTCAAGAACCTTGAAAGAGAGAGGGATAGTTCTAACCTAGGCTCGTTTCTGCAGTGAGAGAATAGACAGGTGTCTTCACCACACTTTTAATGTAGCTAATTAACGCATTGATGGGTGCTTTCCATACTGGGTCTGTGATGTGACACATATGGGATGGCAACTACTTTGGCATCCGCACTGGGTTTTGCATCCTTATTCTATTTTTGTACTTTCAGTAAATATTGTAATTTATTTCTTAAGAATCGATACACAAAGCCTTCATTCTGTGCAGTTATTCAATGCTAAATAACTTCAGCATCAGAATTGATTCAGCCCTCATTTTCTATCACTGCACTTCAGAAGATGAGTGAAGAATTCAACTTACAGTGACTGTGTCAAAGACTAATATTTCAGGTCATTTTTTCCACAGTAAAGCCATGTTAGGGGCAGCATGTGGTAGGAACTAATGATACTAATTTCTGGTATTGAAACATTTTAAATGGGAGTTTTTAGTAATTTTTTTAATATCAAGTTAGCCATTTAGGCTCATCTCATTCAGTCGATCACACTGTATAAATAATAATTATTGCTGTTATGATTCATTTATTATTTAAGATGTATTTTCAATGTTTGGGTTTTTTTGTGAAATATCAATTGTACTGTATAATTTAACTTCTATTTTGGCTTCTGTTGACTATATTCCATTGAATACTCTTCTACCTATGTACACAGATATGAAATGTGTGTAATACCTGTTTAACCTATTTTGCCCACAAAATACAGTCATACCACTCTACAGTGTATCCTGAGAAGCACTTGATCTGGTGCTATAGCAAGTATTTTATTTGAAAAGATTGAAGTGTATTTTAGAAATGTAGTCTCCGAAGGCCAAAAAATAAAGAGCCAAACTTAACACATTGAAATTTATTGTCAATTTTAATAATAAAAATAAACTATTCTTATCAAAAAAATGTGGACTTATTCAGATTTTTACAAATATATCTTTGCTTGTAAACATTTGTCTTGAACATATGGTGCTGACATTATCAAATACTTTGGAAGGCTTTCACCAGCAACCACAATTGATGTAAAGTTTGATGGAACATGTTACAGGCATTAACTTGTCTTAAGGGTTTACAATCACACACAAATTAATTTCATCTCAACCACAAAATACAGTTTAGAAACACACCAAGCTTTGTTATTTCACACTATAATACAATTTGCATTTATACATCACCTTCTACATTGGGAAGACATCTGAAAGCCCTTGACACTGCTGATTGGGTATTGAGCTGGGAGTGGAGCCCTGGTGAGGGGTAAAATTATTTATTAAGATTTATTAAACTATAATTTATTATGATTTATTAAGCACAGTTAAAGTACGTCCTGAGAGGGACCTTGAACGAAGGGAGAGAGTGTACAAGCTGGAGGGACTCTGGGATGGAGTTCCAAAGAGGGGAGGGCAGAATGGCTGAACTCTGTAAAGTCAGCTCAAGAGATTTGTCCAGATCTCATCAATAAATTCATTCCAAATTCCATTTCTTGTCCACATTCAACTTCTGGTCCATGTGAACATGTACACAATTGAATTTGCTCTTTGCTATCCTCTCCGGAACTTTTTCTCCAGTAATATTTATCCATTTTCTATCCTCTCCACCTTTTCTCAAGGCATGCAACTCCCTGTTCTTTGTACTAGGAACCAGACTCTGATTTAGCTCCTTGACTGCGAGTGCGATAGGCTATTTAATGTCTCGTGTGACCGTATGCACAGAAGTAAAACAGGGATTTTCATGTGAGAGGAAAAGGGGTGAAAAATGACGGGAACAAATTATAGAAACAAATTGTAATGAATTCCATAGTAGCTGAGAAGTTGCGCCTGTGTCGTTTTACCAAAGAAATACATAGAATAGCCTCAAGATTGCAGTTTACTTTAAGAGTGATATTTTCTACTTGAGTGATTCATATTTTCTCACCTTTCCAATTCTATTCATCTCAAGCCCTAGAAGTATGTAAGGTTTGACCAGGTTGTAACCAAAAAATTACCAGATCATTCTTCTTATCAACTCCATTTCATGGTTGTTTGTGAGATATTGCTGTTTGTAAAATGGCTGCTGCACTTGCTTACAAATAGTCATTATACTTTGCAGTAATAGCTGCGAAGCACTTTGAGTCAGATGTAGGGGAAGTTCGGGCTTCTACTCCACCTTGGTGGTTTGAGACATTCTACCTCAATGAAAGGCAAATTATTATTCAACAGCGATTACTCACTACAATAGATGGCACATCTTCCTTAATTATACCCTTGAAGTGTGAATGTTTGTTACATACAAAAGCAGATACAGTAGAAACAGAGCGTTATAACACAGGTTATTATGCTATGTGCTTCCTCTTTGAAAGAGGAATCCCTTAATTTCCATTTACCTGCTTTTTCTCCCATAATTCTGCAAATGACTCCTCTGTCTAGTTCCCTAATTAATAAAGCTCTGGACTCAACCACTGCTCCCAGCAGGACATCCACACTCTCAGTAAAAAAATCTCAAGGCGCCCCCTTTTGGTACAAATAATTTCTCTTTCAACTGTCAAAACTCTTAATTTTAAACTTGTGTAAATCTCCCCTCGACCTACTCTGTTCTAGCAAAAATAGGTCTAGTTGGTATGGTTTCTGCGCATAGCTTCAATCAATCATTCCTGATATTATCCTAGTAAATCTGCTCTGTATCCTTTCTAATGGCTTCCTAAAGAATGGTAAGCAAAAGTGACACATGTAAACATAAACCCTCTAAACCTCCTTTTCATGACTTTAAATGATTGAACCAACACATTCCAAAGTGCAAACCTCTTTGTTCAATAATGCAAGAACTAGAATCACCCTGGCTAGAAGTCTCCAAAGCCTCTTATTTTTAGGTCTTACATTAAGTTATGTTTTAGGTTTTAGCTGCCAGAACTGATTTACGTGGCCTGCGGATATGGAGTCCTGTCGAGTATTGATTAGAGCACTCGCCTCACAAGCGAGAGGACCCAGGTTTGTTTCCCGGGCGGGGAGAAATTTTAGGCAAGTTTCCTTACTCAACACACCTGTTGACCTAGCAGTAAGTAGGAACTGGTTGTCGATTGGTGGTTCGCTTTTCCATGGGTAATAATCCCTTAAAAGAATTATAATAATTTGGTCACTCAATCCACAAGTGTTTAGGAACTATTTGTGCTATTGTGCTCTGCTGTGCGCAATTAGCTGCCACGTTTCGCCCACAAAATAGTCAATTCACTTTATAATATATTTTATTTGAGACGTCTCAACGACATGATAAGGCACTATATCAAATGCAAGGATTATTATTGTGAACTTCAGCACAAAAATAAAATTGTCAAATCCAATATTACAACAAACCTTTTTTTAAATGAACTACCATATTAATTCTAACTAGCAGAGATCAACTAGCTACCAGTTCAACATACAGTGAATATCTGATGTACAGTGTAAAAGGCAATGTAAAACGCAACAGAGCAGGCATGCATTAATAGCCACTATAACAGCTAATTCAAGTTCAAGAACTATTATTTTTAATCAAAACCTCAAAGATTGTGGCACAAATATATGGAACCCTTTCCAGACAAATGGCAAGTTTCAGTCACATCTGCCATGTACATTGAGGGGGCTGCTGCTCCCCCCATGCCCTCCACCCTCCTCGATCCTGACACCCAGCTCAGGTCCGAAACTCTGTCCGTCCAGTGCCTGGGGACATCCCCCCAACATGAAGGGCGTTCTACAAATGTAATTTTGTTGTTGTCTCCTCTACAGTAGATTGATAATTCTACCAGTCAGATGAGGAAATGTTGTTTTGTACATTTGGGTGGCGGATACTCTTAAGCAGAGTGATGGGTTTCAAAGCCAAGTTACTGAGTTTGATATATGTACAGAAATTTTCCTTTTGCTGGAATGGAGTGTGTACTCTCTCTTAGGGTCCGACCCTGCTCACCCAATTATGGAAATGATTAGGAAATTAGGCCAGGTTGCAAAGAAAACTGTTTGGGGACCCCAGAGCATGTGTTGTGGTAGCGCTGGAGTTTAACCAGCTAAAACTGTCATTGTGAACACTGTCTGCCAAATTTTCCACTGCCTGTTTCAGCTTGAACCTCCTACCCATTAGGACCTTGTAGGGTTAAAATGTGCTGAGTGGTAAAACTTCCTCACTCCCAATGTGTGTCCTGCTGATGGGATAGGCTGAGTCTGGAACCACCCTACTGAGACTGGCACAGAGAATCAAATTCAGTTCTGATACTCCATTGTCAGGCATATCCCCATGGGTTTAATTTAACCACAAAGAGGCCCTGCTGACCAGTTGAGAAATTCCAATGGCTTAAGTTTGGGACAGAAGTATGTGCCGGCATGGCACTTGTACCAAATAAAAGCCTGAAACAACCAATAGACATCTAGCCTTTTTTCAGATACCAATGTAAAATTTTCCAGGATTAGAATTTAAACAGCGAAATTACACATAGCCCAATTCTTAGGCATTATTTAAGGGAAGTCTTATGCTTGTCACTTCAACTCTCCCTCCCACTCTGACCTCTCCATCCATGGTCTCCTACGTTGATCCAATGAGCCACAGCGCAAGCTCAAGGACAGCACCTCATTTATCTCATTTATTTTGGAGGGATTATTTGTTTACCACACACGTAAAAAAAATCTTAACTCTTGTGTTTGCTGTTTGAGACATTTTAAACAGTGGATTTTTAGGCACTAATTATGAAATCTTCAGAAAGAAATACAGAAAGAACTTCACTGGTTGAATTAGTTTTCAAAAAATAAGATGTTTTCAATAGTCAAAAACAATATTTAGATATAATCATGCCAGAGCACATTCAATGTGTTAATAAAGACTATAATTATATATTTATTAACTCTATAATTCAACATGTAGAAATCAAAGCTTCAAAGTGTTTGGCATTGATCCAACCGAGACTAGAAAAATGAAAAGTTTCAGTCTCCTCTGCCAAGATTGAGATTGAATTTCTTCTATGGTGTATTGATGTCACTTAACTTTTAACAAACGATATGTGGCAGGTGATTGATGTATCCTCTGTACTAAATGCTAATCTGAGACAACTAATGCAACCCTTCCTTTAATGAATTTATAAAGTAAGCCTTATGGTTAGGGCATAAGAAGATTGATTTCTAACTTTTCATTGCTTTAATGTGATCTTTTTTTTCAGGCTTGGGATTTTGCCCCAAGTTTAGGCACTCGTGTGGCTTAGCAGAGTGTGAAGCAACACAACTCTCTTGTGTTGGCTCTTTGAGATATTTTAAGCAGTGGGATTCCTAAATATTAGTTGGGTATAAACATTTGCTTCTCCAAAACCTTAAGTACTCGATATGCATCTCAACAACTCAGCAGTCAACCAACTGTCCAGATACATACCACATACATGATACATACTTAACGTTAGGGGAGAAGTATTAAAACTCGGGCAAAAGTTTAAAAATCTGTTTTGTTTCACTTTGCAAGTTCTAGGTGTGTAAGTGTTGCCTAAACTTGATAGCTTTTAAAATTTTGAGAAAGCTTGCAAAAGTTGAAGACATATAAAAATGGCCACCTTGGAATGAATGTAGATGTTAAAGTGGGAATTAACATTTTATTATGTGAGACAGTAATTTGTTGGACAAATTTGTCCAGGGAAAAGTTAAAGTAGCTAAATTAGGATCACAAAGTAAACAAGTAATGAATTTTGAAAAGGCTTCTTTTCTCATTAGTTAAAGGACTGAAAAAACCGAGTGAATGTATAATAGAAACAGGGGGGCAAATCCACCTGGATTCAAACTGAACACTACAACTTGCACTTATATAGCGCCCTCCATGCAGGATAGCGTCTCAGAGCACTTAACAATCAAACAATCAAAAAGAAAGGCATCATTCAGACCTTCCTCAGACTACTTACACGTAAATGAGTACAAATAATGTTTTGAGAAACGTTATTAAATAAAACCGAAATCCCTGAGAAAGATGTTTCTAATTAAAGAAAACTAACTGCACTATGCATCTTAGGCAAAACCTGAAATTTGTACTGTAATTTGTACTGTAATAATCAGTCTAGCAAACAAAATTTCAGCTCTAAGATAATGATAATTTGATAAATTAGGTTGACAAGGGATCATACAAAAATGTTAACAAGGTTGCTGTTAATTTGATTTTGTTATATCTGAGAAATACTGTAATATGTCCTCTACAGTGAAGTTCATTGTTATACCAGAGCCAGGATAACACCGTGCTATCATATCTTCAAACTCCTTGTACTGCCGAACAAACTCTCCCTGCATTGTACGCCACACCACCTGCAAATAACAAGACATGTATGTAAGATATTCTGGAGGATTGATAGGCATTACCAGAAAAAAATTCTCTCAAGGATTCAAACTGCAACCAACGATCCATGAACACCTCAAACTAAGCTCTTATTTCACTAGGTCAGGAACACTGAACACTTAGGCTAATTTCAAAAAATTAAAATAATGGATTGAGAGAATAGCACCTGGCACACAAACTAACATTCCTACAATAATAAAGTTGCTTACTTTATTTTTTTGCAAGCCATCACAAATGATGTGATAAAGGTACATCATCAAATGTAAGGATTATTATTATTATTTACCTGAAGCAGATTTTCCTCCTCACTCAGGTGCTTGGTAACCTTTTTGTAGAGATTTTCTAGTGCTTTTTTGACCTCTTTGCCTTGGTACTTCTCAATAACCTTTCTCAACTCCTGTTTGCTAAATGCCAGCTGATAGCTCACTTCATCTTCTTTAACACCCTGAGAAATACGAGCCTTTACCCCATCAAAAAAGTTCTGTGAATGCAAAATATACACATATCATGGTTAAACACACCATTTTGACAAGACCATTGGACTAGAAACAGTGAAACAATGTTAGGTTTAGAGAACACAATAATAATCCTTGCATTTGATATAGCGCTTTTTACGTCTTCTCGACATCTTAAAGCGCTTCACAGAATAGACTGTAAAGTGAATTGACTGTATATTTGTGGGCGAAACACGGCAGTGACCCACACACAGTCGTGGATTGAAAGTGACCAGTTTATTATTGTTTTTTTTTGGAGGGATTATTATTAGGCGTATGGAGTAAGAAAACTTACCCAAGGTTTCGCCCTGCCTGGAATTGAACCCAGGTGTCTCGCTTGCAAGGTGAGTGATCTAACCACTGAGCTACAGGTCTCCACAATAAGTATTTCAGAAAGAATCTGTATTTTCAAATACAGTATTTGATTATGAATTTACAATATGGTACTTTTACGCTGTATGCTTTAATAAGTAAAATTCTACAGTCAATGTATATAGATGACCATGTGCAGAGTCAATCTGAACTTTCACTATTGAAGACCAGCAGTACTCCGACTCTACAGATAGAAAATCTGCCTCCTTGTGCAGCGGCATTGATCATGTGCAATAATGATGGGATTTTTCCATTGCAAATAGACATTGTCAAAGTCCACAACTTAGTCAAGAAGGATTTCAGTCCCTATGTTTCTGCACCATGAAAGATAAAAATATCTTAAATGGCTGAACACATACGTTTAATTTTTCCAAAGGCTGTCCCAGGTACTTGGTGACATAGAGGTTACAGTGCTCGGTGTATTGCTGGTAAGCTTCCTTCTTTTTATCTTCCAGACTGATGATCTTCATTTTCGAGAGGCAGCAGAAGATATGGTGAAAGTTCTCCATTATAACTACATCTGGAGGTTTTTTCAGATTCATTGAAGCAATATTTTTAACTTGAGATAAAAGAAACATTCATTATTAGGGTGATTTCTCCTGTGCTTGATAAAAACACATGAAAAGTGGAAATGTAAAGATGACCAAAAACAGCATTCAACCATGAGTTTCAGGTAATGTGGATTAATAGAATTCTGCATATGTAGAAGTGCACTGTCTATTCCTATTCAAGCTAACTGAAAATAAATACTTTTACTGCTGGCAATGAGGGGTGAGGGATTTGGGGAGAGATTTTAGAGGACAGGGGCAAGTTGGCTGAAGGCTCTACTACTGAAGGTGGGGCAGAGAGCAGTTTGTGTAGCGGAGGGAGTGTCCGAAGAGTAAGAACATAAGGATTAGGAGCAGGAGTAGGCCATTCGGCCCCTCGAGCCTGCCCCGTCATTCGATAAGATCATGGCTGATCTTCAGACTTAACTCTAATTACTTCCCCTATTCCCATATCCCCTAATCCTCTCTATTTTTAAAAAATCTATCAGTCTCAGCCTTGAAGATGTTCAAGGACTGAGCATCTACAGCCTTCTGGGGTAGTGAATTCCATAAATTCACTAACCTCTGAGTGAAGAAATGTTTCCTCAACTCTGTTCTAAAAGGCTGACCCTTAATTTTAAGACGGTGACCCCTGGTTATAGATTCTCCTACCAACTGAAACAGACCCTCAGTGTCTACTTAATCATACCTTTAAGAATCTTATGTTTCAATAAGATCTCCCCTAATTCTTCTGTACTCTAGAGAATACAGTCCTAGTTTATTCAGCCTATCCTCATAGGTCAGTCCCCTCATCCCAGGAACTAACTGAGTGATTCTACGCTGCACCCCCTTCAGGGCAATTATGTCCTTTTTTAAAATAAGGAGACCAAAACTGCACACAATACTCTAGGTGCAGTCTCACCAAGGCACTATACAGTTGCAGCAAGACTTCCCTACTCTTGTACTCTAAACCTTTTGCAATGAACGCTAACATGCCGTTCGCCTTCTTAGTTGCTGCTGTACCTGCATACTAACTTTTTGAGACTGGTGTACAAGGACACCCAAATCCCTCTGAACACTAACACTATCTAATCTCTCCCCCTCTAGAAAATAATCTGTTTTTCTATTTTTTCTATCTAGGTGAATAACTTCACACTTCCCCACATTAAATTCCATCTGCCACCTACTCGCCTACTCCCCTAGCCTATCTATATCCTGTTGCAATCTTTTTGCATTATCCTCAGAGCTTACTCTCCCACCTAGTTTAGTGTCATCCGCGAATTTAGATACGTTACATGCAATGTCCTCGTCTGGATCATTGATGTAAATTGTAAATAGCTGAGGCCCAAGCACTGATCCTTGTGGAACTCCACTCGTCACATCCTGCCAATTCGAGAATGACCTGTTTATCCCTACTCTGTTTTCTACCCGTTAGCCACTCTTCAATCCATGCTAATATGTTCCCATTAATCCCGTGGGCCTTAACCTTGTGCAATAGCCTTTTGTGTGGCACTTTGTCAAATGCCTTTTTAAAATCTAAATATACTACACTACTGGTTCCCCCCTATCTAACCTGCTAGATACATCTTCAAAAAACTCTAAAAGATTAGTTAAGCATAACTTCCCTTTTGTAAAGCCATGTTGACTCTGTCTAATCTTGTTATGGTTTTCCAGGAATCCCATGACATCTTTAATTAAGGACTCAAGAATTTTCCCTACCATTAATGTCAGACTAACTGGTCTATAGTTCCTTATCTTTTCTCTCCCACCCTTCTTAAATAGTGGTGTTACGTTTGTAATCTTCCAATCAATGGGAACCGTTCCAGAATCCAGAGAATTTTGGAAGATCAAAGACAAACCATCCACTATCTCAGTAGCCACCTCTTTTAAAACCCTAAGATGTAGGCCATCAGGTCCAGGAGATTTATCAGTTTTAAGACCTGACAATTTACCTAAAACCATTTCTTTACTAATATTAATTCCCCTAAGTTGCTCGCTAACATTGTCTTCTTGGTTCCCCTCTATTCTTGGTAGGTTTTCAGTGTCTTCTAAGGTGAAGACAGTAGCAAATTACTTGTTTAATGACTCTGCCATGTCTTTGTCCCCTACTATAATTTCCCCCGTCTCTGCCTATAGCGGACCCACATTTACCTTTGACAGCCTCTTCCTCTTTATATATAGATAATTATCCCTAATACATTCTATAAACTCTTCCTCTGTCATATTTTTCCCAATTTGGTTGTCCCAATCTATGTGCAGATTAAAATCACCCACAATTAATGTTTTTCCTTTACTACATGCTCTGCTAATTTCCTGATTTATACCTTGAGAGATACTGTGACTGCTGTTCGGGGGTCTGTAAACTACTCCCACTAGAGTTTTCTGCCCCTTGTTGTTACGTACTTCTACCCATACTGACTCTACTTCCTGCTTTTCTGATTTAAAATCTTTCCTCTACTGTTTTTATCCCATCCTTTATTAGCAGGACCACCCTCCCTCCTCGTTTACCACATTGCCTATCTTTCCTATACACCACGTACCCTGGAATATTTAGCTCCCACCCTTGATCTCCCTGTAACCATGTCTCGGTGATAGCTACTAGATCATACCCGTTTGTTTCTATATGTGCAGGGTAGGGTCGTAAAAAAATCAGAGATAGAGTGGTGCAAGGCTGTGGAAGCATATGAAGGTGAGAGACAGCATCTTAAAGTTGATCCGCTGGGGCATACAGAGCCAATGGTGCCGGGAGAGGATGGGGTTGATGGGCTCGCTGTGCTTAGTGTGAGAAAGAATATGAGTTTTAGAATTCTGTATAGTTTGGAGTTTCTGGAGGTTGGAGCTCGGGAGACTGGGGAGCAGGGGATACAGAGCCAGTGGAGCTGGGTGAGGATGGGGTTGATGGGCTCGCTGTGCTGAGTGTGAGAAAGAATATAGGTTTTAGAGTTCTGTATAGTCTAGAGTTTCTGGAGGGTGGAGCTCGGGAGACTGGGGAGCAGGGGGTTAAAAATGTCAAGTCTGGAACTTACAAAGGTTTGACTGAGGGCTTTGAAATGCATTTACTTTAGAGCGAACAAGCCTTTCTTCCGCTTCTGGAGAATGTTTACTTACCACTGGCAAAGACAGCTGCTATGACTTTATTGTAAGCTTTATCCAAATTTCCTCTCCTGTCAGTATTCTTAAAGATGGATTCAGCTACATTCAGGAATTCGTCAAATTCAACCACAAATGGCAGAATGACAACCCTGATCTTTTTTGGGACCTTAGCCTCTTCAATTTGCTTGCAGAAAGCATACTGAATTAAAATAGAAAATGAGAAGATGGATCAATTTCACCACACATGGTATATTACGTTTGTGTTTGAACATTTAATATATTGTATAACATGTTAAACTTCTCAAAGTTCAATATCCATTCTTAACAATACCTTAACCCCAACCTCATGAGAAACCCATTGTAATTGTGTAACATTTTTACTTCCTCCATTCCCAAGATGGTATTGAACGAGATGGACAGTTTAGTGTTAATTGATAGTGTTTCACTGTGGACATTGCCCAGTTGGAATTGGCTACAATAAATTAAATTAACAATTACATTTTCCATTATTCTGGGAACAATTCAAATATGTCTCATTGATAACCCACTCTACCAACAAATTTAATGATCAACATTATTTCCATTCAACAAGTTAAATCATGTCTGTGTTTGCTGTACTTATGGCATTTCATTTGAGTACAAAATAAATTGAGCTATGAACAAATGGATCGATTTCACAATCCTCTCGCTCACCTACAAAAAGATTTCATGCTCTAGTATCCCCAACCTCTCCAACCTGCCTCTCAATCCCTCCACTCTACCACTGGCTTGTGCCTTCAGCCACTAAGCCCAAACTTCTGGAACTCCCTGCCACTCCTTCTCAAATGCCTCCAATCGGGCCTCCGTCCGCCCACAGCACAGAAACCGCTCGTCAAAGTGACAAATGAATTCTGTCCATCTGCGACCAGGGCTTTGTCTGCCTCCTCATCCTCTCTGCTTCTTTCGATACTATCGAACACTCTATCCTCATCCACCGCCTCTCCTCTCACCTCAACGGCGCTGTCCTTCATTGGTTCAGATCGTTCCTCTCACACCTCCTGCACTTAATCTCCTTAAACAACTTCTCTAGCCACCGGACTGTCTCATGCAGCATTCCTCAGGGCTTTGTCCTTGGTCCCCTCTTCTTCAACACCTATATCATCATCCGGTGACATCATCCGCAGACATGGGGTCAACTTCCACATGCAAGTGGATGACACTCAACTCTACCTCTCTGCCTCCACCTTTGACTCCAGGACCACTGCAGTGCTAACAGAATGTCTGTGAGACATCAAGTTCTGGATGAGAGCTAACTTTCTTCAGTTGAACGTCAACAAGACCGAGGTCTCCTGATTGGCTCCCGTCAGCACCTCCTTACCTCAGGCGCTGACAGCATCACCATCCATGGTTGCACACTCCACCTTACTAAGCCAGTCCAGAACCCTGGGGTCTTGTTTGACCCTCAGCTATCCTTTTTACCCCACATCTGCGTCATGACCCGCTCTGCCTTCCCCCACCTCAGCAACGTCGCCCGGCTCCGATACTGTCTTACCCCACAGGCCGCTGAAACCCTCATACACGCCTTCATTACATCGAGGTTTGACAATGCAAACTCACTCCTTGTTGGCCTCCCCAACTCCTCCCTCCACAGGCTGCAGATCATCCAGAACTATGCAGCTCACGTCCTCTCCCGCACCAGGCTCCATGGCCCTATACTCCCATCCTTGCCTAACTCCACTGGCTTCCCATCACACAGAGGAAACGGTGCAAGATCTTGGTCCTCACCTTCAAAGGCCTCCATGATCTTACTCCCCCCTACTTCTATGACCTCCTAACCCCCTACCACCCTATTCACTCTTTCTGCTCAGCTTCATGTCCCCCTCCTTGCTTGCCCCACTATCAGCAGGCGGGGCTTAAGCCACTCTGCACCCACCCTCTGGAACTCCATTCCGCAGTCCCTCCATCTCGTCCCCTTCCTGGTCATCTTCAAGACCCACCTCAAGACCCTACTCTTTGACTATGCTTTCACTCTCCCTGCTTCCACCCCTGCCCTCCACCCTCCCCCACCCCTCAACTCGGATTCATAACTCTGTCTGTCCAGCGCCTTGGGACTTCCTGCTGAGGTGAAAGGCGCTATACGAATGTAATTTAGTTGTTGTTGTTGCCTCCTCTTTGCCAGTCTTCAGATCGCACCTGAAGACTTTCATCCTTGACTATGCCAATGGTTACCATTCCCTTTTTCCATGGCTCATGTCAGTGCATGCACTAGAAGAGTATAAAATTCTACTGTGTGAAAAACACCCAGAACAAAAATAAACCACCAAATAATACCCATGCACACCAGGTTAGGAAGCACCAGAAACTGAAATCATACCATTCAGAGTGCCAAGGCTGAATTTGGATTTATCAAAGTCTTCAGTATAGATTGGGCTGCTGCAGAGAAGCAAGGTTTTAAAAAAAAACATAACTAGAAATCTTTTCATGAGTCAAAACTATCAAAACAAAATTCAATCTTCATCTTAAATAATCCTCCCCAAAAATACCCGAAGGGGAAAATTGGGAGTTTCAGATAAGTGTCACAGCTTTATTTTCAAAGGATATCGAAATTCATTAAAAATAATTAAAAGGATCAATATTGCCACCAGAAAATATTTGATCAACTTATACAAAAAAGAAAATGGTGCAACAATCTGATTAATAATTAATTCTTTGCATTTGACATAGTGCCTTATCACGTCTTTGAGACATCTCAAATGCTTCACAGAATATTGGATGTGTATTTTGATTATTGGCTGTTGAATTTATGAAATACGGGGGTTCAGGAGGTTGGTTTCCAGCTTTTCAGAGCTTATGGTTTGTTTCTGAATGCTTAGGCTGCCTAAAACCTTCTCCAACATGATAAATATTTCCCTCAAGTAAATAAAATCTTAAAATTCAATACCACTGTAGCTCTTCCCGTGCCACAAACAACATGAACAAAATCTGCCTAAAGCACTTTAATTTTGTTGATTGACGTTGATTGTTATCTTTGAAAGTAACAAAGCAAAACATTATTACATCAGTTACTTCAAGAACAGCTTTCTGTTCCAGCTGGAAAAGCACAAGTACTAGGCTACCTGATGCAGCTAGTTCCACCCAGTTTATAGATTTATTAAATTGATCCAAAAAGTTAAAGCCAGCTGCTTAAATGTCACTACAATAAATAAAAGGCATTCATATACTTCAAACTATATGAAATCTAATTTGATTAATTCTTAACACAAAAGTTTTCCAGGCATATTATATTAAACAAGTTTTATAAAGTGAGATGAGAAAAAGTGGTCTCTTCTTAGTTGGATTAGATTTAACAGTAATGGGTAATTTAGGCAAACATGCATACACAAGATATACAATGGTCAAGAACAATATGACAAAGACTTACAATGCATTTGTCGAAGTTGCGTTTAACTTGCACCAGAATATTTCCTAAAGTGGATTTGAGAAAAGAGCAAGGGCCCCCATCCTGTACTGTCAATGCACGCTGGCTCACTGTTACCAGTAAATGCAGGGAGTTAGAAGGGTTGATCTTATCACATAGATTTACAAATCCTTTCAGGTCTGCTTCCAGAGTACTAAAAATTTCACTCATCATTTTTCGTGTGCTGTGTAGTGCTGGATCTTCTTGTCTGGCAGAAAATAAAACTCAAAATGATTAAAAGCTGCAGATGACATTCCAAACAGAAAGTTTACCCTTAGAGTAGATACATACTGATAATAGAAGAAACATGTTGTTACTCTGGAAATATACAATGTTAAATATGTTCAAATTTCAAGTAACCTATATTATTAAAATACAGAAATGAAATGAATAGGGTTGAATAGTTATAATTGGATCATGCATGTGAACGTTTCTATTCTGGTCCCTGACAGCCTTTAGAATTTCATTTTCCATTTTTTGCACTGTAAGTTGATAATTTTGTCAGATTGCCAGGTGTTTGCTGGTTTATCATCCTCAACTGCTACAGGAGAAACCAACTGGCTGACTAGATTTCACTCAATAGGAATTGTAGGATAAATAACAGCCAATAATTCCTGGAGACACACTAGTAATGCAACAACATGATGATTAATGTGAAAGCCGGTACTGCAAATGAAAGACTGGAACATACAACAATTCTAAAGGGAGTGTCTGCCTTCTCACTGCTTGGTAAGTTGACTGAAAGTAGTTTTCATTTCAAACAAGGATCCTTCTGAGATGCCAAGCTATTAGTTTTTCCATGTATTTTAGCATGTTGTAGTAAGCTGTGCCACCTCATAACAATCATACCCATAGTAATTATTCAAACTGAAAAACATATTAGTTTCTCCATGTATTTCTCCATCAAATCCGACTTGGGACATCATCCCGACGTGAAAGGCGCTATACAAATGTAATTTCTTGTTGTTATTTTTAGCATGTTGTAACAAGCTGTGTCACAATCATACCATAGTAATTAGTCTAAGTGGATAACATGATAATTAATTTATTTTTCTGCTGCAGGAGAAATTATAACATGAATTAGTCCTGCAAACAACAACATTTCATTTTTAGAGCGCCTTTCACGTCGGGAGGACGTCCCAAGGCGCTGGACAGTTGGGTCAAGACCCGAGCAGGGGGTAAATGGGCAGGGTGAGGGGAGGGAAGGGAGGGAGCGAGGAGGGGGAAGAGAGTCGAGAGGGGAGCTGAAGGCACTGTCAAAGACAAAGATCTTGAGACCGGCCTTGAAGGAGGAAAGTGAGGAAGCGGCGAAGGCACTGGGAGATAGAGTTCCAGAGCCTCGGGCCTGAGAGGCTGAAGGCCCGGCCACCGATGGTAGGGCGGTTGGGGCGGGGGATGTGGAGCAGACCGGAGCCAGAGGAATGGAGGGTACGGGCAGGTAAGTAGGGGGATAGTAGGTCGGAGAGGTAGGAGGGCACAAGGCCGTGAATGGCCTTGTAGGTGAGGATGAGGATCTTGAATTCGATCCTCTGGGGGATGGGGAGCCAGTGGAGGCGAGCGAGGGTGGGAGTGATGTGGTCCCGAAGCCTGGTGCGGGACAGTACACGAGCTGCAGAGTTCTGAATGACCTGCAGCTTGTGGAGGGAGGTGGCGGGAAGGCCGGCGAGGAGAGAGTTCCCATAGTCCAGCCTTGAGGTGATAAAGACGTGGACCACTGTTTCAGCAGCGTGAGGGGTGAGGTAGTGCCGTAGTCTGGCGATGTTTCGGAGGTGATGGAAAGCGGTGCCAGTTGTGGCGCGGATATGAGGAAGAAAGGACAGCTCAGGATCGAACAGAATGCCGAGGTTCCTGACTGGCTTTGAGAGGTGGAGAGTGCAGCCTTGGATGCTGATGCTGTCAGCGCCTGAGGTCATATTGGAAGGATTTGTTTTTTCTCGATCACACAAAGTCCCACTAATTTACCATTAAGGCTGACATTAGGTAATTTCTACACATTGGAAAGTGTTCACCCCAAAAACTTTACTGGATCATAACCCGCATCACATACTCTGCAACACTCCGACAAATCCTTATTCTCTCTGACGAGTCTTCATTAACCACAATAAGAGTATCACTCCTACTCCCTAGTATCTGGAAGTAAAGAAAATCAGATTTAGTTTACAAATCATCTCGATTTGTATCCACTAATGAACCAAGTCACAATATTATAACTGGGAAATTGTTTTGCTATGCAGAATTAGAACCAGATTATAACTGCTAGGAAAGATTTGGAGTAACACCAACCAGTATTTGTTGAATGAAATAATTGAGGAAATAAATTCTTAAAGTATGTTGTATTTAGAATGGTGAAATGAAGCAAATATTATTGGAGGTTAATGCAATTTTAAAATAATGTCTCAATGTTAGATGGATTTAATCTATAGATTTTAAACTATTCATAAAACTGCACCCACTACCTCCTGCTGCACTGTTTCACTGCTTCGGTCTTCATTCATCATGAAGAATTTGGTAATAAACTCCTCCTCTGCAATACACATAGGTTCCAGCTCTGCTAACACCTGGTCTGTAATCTTAAACAGAGCAAAATGAATGCCAATAATCCACAAACCAAATAGAATGAATGGGACATTGTATTAAAGCAATATTCACGTACAATTTTTTTAAATTACTGATGACCAGTGAGGTAAACAATGTCTCCAAATTACACAGGTGCTATTAAATAAAACTCAAACCCCACAATGTGCAAGTAGAACAATTATAATGATTCAGTCAGTAAAAGACACAGACAGTTAAGAGTCTGAATTTCCCTTTGAAAGCAAAGATAGCACCTGGGATGTGAGCAAACAAAATTAAATGACTTAATGAGTAAATTGCATCTATACGGTAGTTATTACAACCAATGAGACAACTTCACCCAAAGCTACTGAATCATTTGCTAGCACTTCATACAAGGTAACCAAAAAGTCATGATTATCTACCCTATTATCTAAAAAATATATCATTATTTCTTTAAGAATTCTTAGACATTGTAATGATATTATGACTTTTTGATCAACCTGTAGTTGCTTCCTGATCAATAGGAGGCATTGTATACAAGTTGGGAAAACATCATCCAGTGGTCATCTTGAGAACTGATTTGTGGTGGTGACGTCACACAAACAATTATCACGATGTGTAGTGGAGGCCAACTCGCTGGCCTCTTAAGAAACAGCTTTGATGCTGCAATGGAAAGATGGTAGGGTGGCTATTCTGGACGGATGGCCGAGATTAAATGGTCAAAGTTCTTCATCTGTAGATCTCTTGTGGGAAATCTTGAACTTGTACTAGTCAAATTGGATCTATGAATCTAATGAATTCTAAATGAGTATTTTCTTCATATACACAGTGGAAAAAGGAAAACTATAGTCTTATGCCACTAACTAATTTAAATTTGCTAAATATCTCTTATTTAGATTGGCTTATTCAGATTTCTACAGAAATGTTTAATGGGTGACATATTGAAAAATAAATCCTTGCTTTCCGAATTTAAAATAACGCAGTGGTTTGGGTCCAAAACAAACAGACCCTGTGTTATAGAGCAATATAAAAAGGCTGCTGCTAACGTTGCCTCCTCTGTGAATAGACAAATAAACAGTGAACAGAAATTATCAGCAGTAAACCAGCGACTAATTTTTAGCTGCCCAGTCAGGATTGGAAAGTGTCCACAGTACATCCCTGCTATAAATGGACTCATGCTATACTGACTGAATTTATAACCATGTGGACTCCAATTGTGACCAAGGTCTTTTTTTATTTATGGTTCAACAACAGATTATTCAAACGTTAATGTGGTCTTCAAAGTTAAATAAAATTTAAAAGCATAAAGAACCACATTATATAGTACAACAGAAGAAACATAGGACACTCAAAACTGTACTGCTGCTATAATTATAAAATGACTGCAGTTATAATAATAATCCTCCTTGCATTTGATAGAGCGCATTATCACAAAGTCAAGATGTCTCAAAGCGCTTCACAGGATATACTGTAAAGTGTTGTGACTGTGTATTTTGTAGGCGAACATACCTGCATGCAAGATGTGGAAATGCTCCATTCTCCATCCTGGCCATCCCTTACCTAGGAGATAAAAAAAATACACATGTATGTTTCTTGTGTGGTCTGATATTTAAAATATCAAAATGAATGCAAAGAAAAACACCCACCCTGTCCATCATTCCACGATCTGCAAAATCAGCTTCTGATCCTAAGTGCTCATAGAAAGAAGGACGGAAAAGGGACTTCTGCAAATTGGATGTAGAAGCAGTCAACTTTTCAAAACTCTCCTGAATTCCTGAGAATCATAGCATAAAAAACAAAAGAAAGAAACTAAAGATTTTTTTTCTCACTTGCTAGCAATCTTGACTCCATGTCAAAGGTTGTGGGTTCAAACCCTGTGTCATATCTTTGAAACAGACATTTTGACATCTAAATTTTTTTTTAAAAAAACCACTTGTTAAATTAAACCTTTCAGTCTTTCAGTCTGAAGCTCATCCAAACTCATGATTTCACCTATGTTTACTTTGTGCTGATGACATAGTTCTCATTTGAAAAAAAACAAATTTGAAGGATAGGGAGCTCTTTGTCAGCTCTCAAATGTTTGCCTTGTTTTCGTTCTACTCTTTCGGGTCAAACTATTCCACAAAAAACAAACAAAACATTGCTCATTTTCATGGTGAGTCAGAAGGTTTGAAAGATTTTTTGCCAGAGGCATTACATTTAAAAAAATATATATATTCTTAGGTCTTGGGGGTGAATTCGCTCTCCTATTCTTCCAAAGCTGAAAATAGCCAATAAAGTCACAATGTGTGACACCAGTCGTCACCTCAATCTGCAACAAGCAAATGAAATGACCACAAGTTTTTTTAAAAAAACTGCTCAATCAGGAAGCATGAAAAAGGAAAGCTTAAAAAGTAGTCAAGTCAATGATATTGTAGTGGTGAAATGATAATAGTTTAAATTTGGTGGCAGTTCAGAATATAATAATAAAAAATCCTTGCAATTGGTATAGCCCTTTATCACATCGTTGACGTCTCAAAGCGCTTCACAAAATATATTGTAAATACAACCCCCCCACCATAAAGTAAATGAATGTCCAAAAAGAGAAAAGAAAGATTCTATTATGAATATTAAATACTCAATCAACAGATATCCATGAAGAATCTGTATTAAAATCTCTATTTTCCTGGTAATAGCTATTGTGTACATATAAAATAAGTAATTTAACCCTAATGTGGTAATAAGCCTCCAATCTTGTAGCTACCAGCTTAGCAAACACACGTACTTACTGAATCTCATGCCTTCCTTTGTTCCAGTCAGTTTAAATTTTACAAGGTCAAAAAATTCTTTGATTTGTCTTTCATAAAGTTTGCGAATATTGTCTGTGTATACCTAGTACAAAACAAACACCATTCATATTAGAAAAGGAATTTGATGACCTTGACATGCAACTATGTCAAATGCTAATGACAACACTAAGATAGCACATTGCTTGTCATTAGTAGATACTGTTATTAAATCCAGCCCAGATGGTATAAGAATTCTAAATGTAATGAAATTACATCAGTTTAATTTTATTGCTTTTTGCAATATCTGCCAAAGTTTAGAAAGTTATATATTTAAAAAAAATTAAATTATGTAGATAACAAAAAAACTTTGCTTACATGTAATAGTCATTTCCACTCAAACCTTTATTATTAACTAGCTGTACCAGTTTCAGCTTCGCTTGCAACCAAAGGAACCAATATGGAATGTGGATTGACACACAGACAGACATTTTGTCTTTATCGATACTCAGCTGTATCTCCTCTCCCTCTCCGTAGTTGTAGAATACGATGCATACCTCATATTTTGGGGATTAATTCAAGCATACTTTAATATAGCTCATCAACGATAGGCGTTCCCCACAAAAAAAATATGCCCATGACACTGCCAGACGCAAGACCTTTCCGATGAGGTAGAAATCATGCCTCTTAGTCCTCCTGTGGAAGGACTCCTTTAATATATTTTCTTTCAGTATCTCTCCCTCTCTCTCTCTCTCTTTCACAGTCTCTCTCTCTCTCATTGTCTCTCTCTTAGTCTCTTTCCCAGTCTCCCTCTCTCTCATAGTCTCTCTTAGTCTCTCTCTCTGTGTGTCTCTCTCTCTCTGTCTGTCTCTCAATCTCTTTCCCAGTCCCCTCTCTCTGTCTGTTCCACATGGGAGCATTCTAGCTCCCATGACAACCAAAAACACAATGCCATACTTTTGTTGCAGAATATAGTTGTATTTCTCTGAACGGTGTGTGCCTTCCTCTCCCTCTACGTAGTTGTAGAATACGATGCATACCTCATATTTTGGGGATTAATTAAAGCATGCTTTAATATAGCTCATCAACGATAGGCGTTCCCCACAAAAAAAATATGCCCATGACACTGCTAGACCTTTCCGATGAGGTAGAAATCATGCCTCTAAGTCAATCGGTTATTGCATGAGTGTTAGATACAGTCAGACAGACAGATACATTGCCTTTATTACTATAGATCTTTATTCATTAATCAGGCAATAATAAGAACAGCGAAATGTCAGTTTAATTTTGGTCTAATGCCCACAATGTGAAGAGAACTTTTAAAATTTCAATTTGCTCCGTTCTTTGCTAACTAAGAAACACATACCTTAGATAAATCAGTAAAAATCGCTGGATTGCTGGTTTTTAGCCAAGCCATTAAAGGGGTGTATGGCAATAATTCTTCATGATAAAACCTATGATTGGGTAAGATCAGATCTCCAGACTCTTGTGTTAAGGTAATATTTTGGTCAGCTCCCTTCAATCAGGAGAAACAAAAATTAAAAGACCACAGAAAACAACAATAAACCTACATGTTGCACACAAATAGTGCTTATCGCTCACAATTAATTTTTCATTCCAGAATTTCAAATGTTTAAAAACATATTTCTTGAACTATAAAATGAAAATCATCTTTCTTTATAAAAAGCATAAAAATAAGCATGGATTTTGTCACAATGGGTTGAGATAATATATAACCAAAGAAATAATTGTTTCCAATTACTGTCAGCAGAATTTAGCAAGCTTGTTATTAACAGACTGTTAAGTGAATTTGTACTAGAACGTGAATCATTTTCACTCAATTTGGTAAGTAATTGAGCAGGGCAGATTATTTCTTACCAGTTTAAATGGGAGTTAAACTATTTAACACATGGCTGGTCTTCTATCTATCATATCTCGTGCTCCAGTGAAGAATGGGATACATTATCGGCAGATATTTAATGCAAACCAACCAGAAAAATATTATGTTGCTCAGCTACATTCATAGATGGTTTTATTTTCTAGTTTTAAATACAAGAAATCTACTTTGTATTGTTCATCTTTGCACTTACTTGTAGTACAAACATATTATTAATGTGTCGTATGAATCGACTTTCAAAATGCTGCCGCAAGCTCTCACACTTTATTAATTGTTCTGCCACGCTCTGCATTTTACGATGGCCTAAAACAAACAGAAATTTTATAAAGTTACTGTTCTAAATTTATGTGAAAATCACTGGTAATATTTTGCTCCAAAGCCAAACAAACTTAGAAAAGATAATGATTAAAGGAGAATGGTAATTCAATCCTCTAATCTAACCCTTTTATTCACTAGACAGCTGAGTTTACAAGACCAGCTTCCAGGTTTGATTCTGTATTGAATTGGATGAACATAATTGGGGTGACATCAAGAGTGCTACAATTGGCTATGGCATATAGTAGCAGGTTCAGGAATGGGTATTTGACTAAACACTATTGCTTACATTTATGCACAGTAATTGATCATCAGGTGAAAGCATTAGAGAATGAATACGCTTTCCCCTCCCCAAATTGTCTACCTGCTTTAAATGCTATAACTGCACATTTCATACAGTAGTTGCCTGCAGCCCATTAGTAATTTTTTAAAGTGACCATTCTTGATGACAGCACTTGATTGTGATTGTTGGCAACTGTAGGGACATCACAACTATGCCACATTCTGACAATCCCCAAGGCCCATACTTTCCAGTGTGAATTATTATGTTATATAGTGATAAGAATGGCAGCTTTGGCTATTATTTCCCTTTCATAATCCAATGACAAAAGGATAAAGTTATTGTGGAGCTGGGGGGTCCTTTAAATGGCATATTAATATGCACATGCAATACCTTTTTATATGTGTGTGAAAAGCTGCCTAGCTAGATTCAGTCATTCAAACAGGCAGGAGATCTTGATGTGAGAAGCCACTTGCTAAGGTTTAGTATCAAAGCAGGGTAAGTGGTGCTAATGAGGCTCAAGTGCACCCAGAGACATCTGAACAATAACCTGCATAAAAAAAAATCAACAAGACTTAGAAGATATAAAAATATACCTGGGAGCAACTTAACATTCATGCAGTTATTGAGAGCTTCAACGGCAGCAATGCAAGCCTGTACACCAGCAGGTTTCGACAGATCACCATTTCGTAAAGCGTGCTGATGTTCTTCAGCAATGTTCAGCATGTGCTAATAGAATAACATGTATTAACAATTCAATGGGACAACATCAGAGATGGCAGTGTTTGTTCAAGTGCTTAAATATCTTTTATTTTAATATTTTTTTAAAAAATGGTCAACTTATAGGAATGCAATTACAATAGACTGTATGATCAAATCAGAGCAAATCAGAATTCCACAATAAAATATTTGTGGAGAGAAAGAACATGATATATTTTGAGGCAAACAAGCATAGGCATCCCCACTAATAATCCGGAAGTAGTAGTGTAGCTTTATGCTGGATTGAAATTTTTTTCACTTCTGAATTATTAATCAACCTTGAACTAATTCTACTGCAATAGATTTGCACCTGCATAAATGAATGAACATTTGATTTGTCACAAGACACTTGATAATTATTACCTCACCTACTTTTGCTTACCACGAGAAAAGTAACTTGTTCTAGAAGCTTTTGCTGATTGGAATCAATGACTTGCAACAAGTAATTGCTTTGATGAATATGATCCATCTGCTCCTTAACACTCTGTAACAACTCTTCATAGGTTTGCAGAGTATTCTCAATATGGTTCACTTCCACAAGACCCATATCAATCAACTCCATCATTTCAGTCACTTGCTTCTCTGAGACGATGATCGATCGAATGTTTTCCTATAGGACAAACAATGCAATTACAACCATGCTGCCAAAACTTTGCTATAGTATGAATGGATGACAAATTGCTTTGCTTTCCAAATGATGAGCAATGGTTTCTACCGAAAATAATACATTTTGAGTCTCTGTGTGCTTTACTGAACATTAGCAATTCAAATATCGTATTAGAAACTAATTATTTCATAATAACAGCAACTAAAACCTTGTTTAAATATACTTTATTTCACTTTTGTCAACTTTGAGGAATGCAATTACAATATGATCATCCACAAGTAAAATTCCACTACAGTATAAAATAAGTAGGATGGGGAGAAGGAACATGTATATTTTGGAGCACTGCAAATCGAGCATGGGCATCCCTGCTGATAACCTGGAGTAGCAGATTAGCTTGACTTCAAAATTATTTCATAATTTATTACTGCTCAAGTAGTTTGTGTCTTTAATTCATTTTTATTCTATGTTTAATGATCTACAATGAATTTACTAATTTGGTTGGATGACCAAACATGTTGGCCATCACTGCTGTAAAAGTACTACGGATAACATGCTTCCATAGCAACCATATCAGTATACTTTAGTATACTATGGGGGGTTTGTTTCTGTTACTAGCATTATTTTTTTTTTAAAAAGTCATACGAGCCTTCAATTACCAAAGAACATAAGTTGTCTTTATAGCAATAGGCTGTACAGCAGTTGCAAGAGATTAAAAATTGTGATTCTCTCAGGCACTCTTTGAAGTAAGCCCTAGTCCTACATTGCAGGTAAAATAATTCTACTAAAAATCATTATAATTTACGGTGGCCAAACCCCCCAAAACACAAATTATTATTAAATATTGTATATAAACATCCTAAATCCAAAAATCTACAATACTCTAGTTCACAAATAATAATCATATAATTGTAATAATGGGCCTAATATGTGCTGTTAACTAATGCTAATACTTATTTCTTTTTATAAGACCAGAATAAAAGGTTTGTTAGGGTTTGAGGACAGCATGTTATACCCCAATGTGATTTTTCCTCATGATGTGTTAAGAGTTCAACGTTTTCCAGTATGTTTTGCATTGCCACCAGAGGGCAATCTTTCCTTATTTTCCTTTTTATCAACATTGAAACTGAATAAAAATCTCTATAAATAATTGAATCTGAATTTAAGCACTAACATAATGCAGCTTTTCCCAAAGTGGAAATCTTCTTGTTGAGGCAGAGGGATGATGTACTAAATAAGTACTTTGCAACTGTCTTCACAAAAGAAGATGATGCAATCAATGCCACAATACCGCAGGTGTGTGAACAGAAATTGGATATGATAAAAATCAACAGAGAGGAGATACTAAAAAGGCTGTCGGTGCACAATATAGATAAGTCACCTAGTTCGGACAGGATGCATCCTAGGTTACTGAGGGAAGCAAGGGTGGAAATAGCGGAGGATCTGGACACAATCTTTCAATCCTCTTTGGACACTGGGGTGGTGCCAAAGGATTGGAAGGTTGCAAATGTTACTCCCCTGTACAAAACCGGGTAGGAGGATAAACCAGAGAACTACAGGCCAATCAGCCTAACATCAGTAGTAGGGAACCTTCTGGAGACTATAACCCGGGACAATATAAATTCTCACTTAGAAAAATATGATTTAATAAAGGACAGTAAACACAGATTTGTTAAAGGTAGATCGTGTCTGACAAAACTAATATAATGTTTTGATGAAATGACTGACAGGGTGGATGAAGGTAATGCAGTAGACATAGGTTATCCAGATTTTCAAAAGGCATTTGACAAAGTGCCACAGGAGAGACTTATAAACAAAATAAAAGCCCATGGTATTAAAGGAACTGTGGCAACATGGATCCAGAGCTGGCTAGGAGACAGAAAGCGAAAATGGTAATAAACGGTTGCTGACTGGAGGGAGGTGTGTAGTAGTGTCCCTCAGGGGTCGGTATTGGGGCCACTGCTCTTTCTGATCTATATTAATGATCTGGACCTGGATATAGGGAGCACAATTTACAAATTTGCAGATGATACTAAGCTAGGAAAAGTACTTAATAGTGAGGAGGATAGCACCAGACACCAAGAGGACTTAGACAGATGGTAAAATGGGCAGAAACGTGGGAGATGAGGTTTAATGTGGAGAAACGCAAAGTGTTGCATTTTGGTAGGAAGAATGAGGAGAGGCAGTATAAGCTGATGGTACAATCTTAAAGGGGGCAAATGAACAGAGAGACCTGGGGGTCCACATAAGCAAATCTGTGAAGGTGGCAGGACAGGTAAATAAAGCTGTTAAAAAAGTATACGGGATACTAGGTTTTATAAATAGGGGCATAGAATTCAAAAGTCAGGAGGTTATGTTGAATATTTATAAAATGCTGGTTAGGCCTCAGTTGGAGTACTGCGTTCAGTTCTGGGCACCGCACTTTAGGAAAGATGTTAGGGCATTGGAGAGGGTGCAAAGGAGGTTTACCAGGATGGTACCAGGAATGAAGGACTTCAGTTATGAGGAGAGGCTAGAGAAGCTAGGATTATTCTCTCTAAAGCAGAGATTAAGAAGGGATTTAATAGAGGTTTTCAAGACCAAGAGAGGATTTGATAGGTTGAACCGGGAAAAACCTGTTTCCACTGGCATGTGGATCAGTAACCTGAGGACACCGATTTCAGATAGTTAAAAGAATCAGAGGAGAGGTTAGGAAAAAAATTTCACCCAGCGAGTTGTTCGGATCCGGAATGCATAACCTGAAAGGGTAGTGGAAGCCGATTCAATAACAACTTTTAAAAGAGAAGTAGATGGGTATTTGGGGCTATGCAAGATTGCAGAGCTATGGAGAATGTGGGCCAGTGGGATTGAGTTGGATTGCTCTTTTCGGAGCTGGCGCAGACATGATGAGCCAAATGGCTGTACGATTCTATGATATATTTTTGTATCAGGTCCTGGATGAGAGTTAACTTTCTACAATTGAACGTCAGCAAGACTTAGGTTCTCCTGATTGGCTCTCACCAGCGCCTCCGCACCTCAGGCACTGGCAGCATCAAAGGATGCACATGCCACCTCACCAAGTCAGTCAGGAACCTAGGCGTCTTGTTAGAAACTCAACTGTCCTTTCTCCCCACACATCCGGGCCATGGTCTGCTCTGCTTTCCCCTACCTCTGCAACATTGCCTGAATTCGCCGCTGCCTCACCCCTCAGGCCGCCGAAATCCTCATCTGTGCCTTCATTAAAACCAGGCTCCTTTGCCAAAGCCATGCTTGTCAGCCTTCCTAACTCTTCCCTTGACAAGCTGAAGATCATCCAGAAGTCTGCAGCTTGTGTCCTCTCCCGCACCAGGCTCTGTGAACCCATCACACCCACCCTCGCTTGGCTCCATCCCTCTGAGGATTGAGTTCAAAATTCTCGTCCTCACCTTCAAGGCCCTCCATGGCCTTGCCTCCAAGCTCTCTGGCCTTCTAACCCCTTATCAACCTGTCCGCTTCCTCCGCTCAGCAGGCTCTGTCCTACTCCATGTCCTCTGCTCGGCCTGCCTCACCATCGACGATCGGGTCTTCAGCCTCTCTGTCCCCACCATTTGGAATGGCATCCCACATTCCCTTCGCCTCACTCCCTCCCTTGCCTCCTTCAAGGCAAGTCTCAAGACCCTCCTCTTCGACCATGCTTTCGGCCATTCTCCTACTCTCTCTGCTCTCCACTCCCTATGATCCCAACCCCCCACCCGCTCGGGTCCTCATCCCTAACTGTTCAGCGCGCCTTGGTATGTCCTCCCGACGTGAAAGGCGCTTGACAAATGTAATTTTGTATTGTGCATAATATCAAATATTACAGTTGTGGACTTTCATATAGTCAGATTATTAGTGGATAGGCTTTTGGCACAGTATTTATTCTACCATTCAGGTCCACTTACTTTCATTTTGCGATATACGATTATTTGATCTTGCAGAAAGTAGCAGCTATATATCCATCATGTAAGAGCATGCAGATATTCTGGAAAGTTTTTAAAAAAACTGTTCTAATGTTTAATAAAAACACACAACTGTGGAGCACTCATTCAAAAATGCACTCAGATCATACAACCAAAACTACTGCCTAGATACGCAGAATTTCCATAAACAGTACTAAAGACAAATAATTCACAGCTGGTTTGTAAATTCTTATGACACAACACTGCAGCAAATGTGCACAACATAATGTTGCTGTTGTGCAGTGCCACCCATTCAAATTATAGGGCAAGCAAAACATGGCACGGCTGCAGTGTTACCCACCTTGGTAACTCTTGTGAGCCTGAGGGAACCTCGTTGGTAATGTTAATGATCTGCAGGTTGAGTCTTTCCATTGGTACTGCATTTGAATCTGATTAATCATCTGTGATTTGAAGTTATGGCACTCATGGTTCTATTCTTTAAACAGAGCTAGTTTTACAAGGCAAATTAACTGTGAATCTAATACCAAAATCAAGTAACTTGTCTTCAGTATTTTGTGCAAATAAGGCATGAGTCATCTAATAACGTATTTATATAGCGCCCTTCACATGGATTAGCGCCGTGAAGCACTTACTTATGCTTCGGATTCAATTCAAGATTTTAGACCAGAACTTATTTTTTACTTACCTCGTCTAATACATGCAAATCTTTGGTCATTTTCTCTGCAAAGGCTTCGGCGTTCGAAATAGATTGATCAAACTGTTCTATCAGCTTTTCAATGTCAATGGCTTCCTTTGGTGTCAGTTCTTGATACACACCAACCTCTTCTTCTTCCTCTTCTTCTTCAATTGGTTCACATACTCGTTGTTCCACTTGAGGACGGTGGCTCTCTGCAAAGCATTAGCAATTTACTGCCAGTGGGTTAAAACAAAATACCTAATTTTTCCATGTAGCCGTTTTTCCCCATGATGCAACAAAACCACATATTCCTATTATACCACACATTCCTCAGTGTCACCATGGACAACATGGTGCTGAAGTTTTACAAGGATAGGTGTGTACTGCAACTTCTGTTTGCCTCGTCTCATTCCTGCAGCAGCTGCAATTCGACAAATTAGATTGTTTTATAGTTTCAGTAAAACTTAAATAAAATGGCAGCAACCATTGTAACAAAATCTTGTAGAATAAAACTAAAATAGGAAGCTCACTAATGGAAACTCTGTACTTTACAAACAAATGTATCCAAGTTAAAGGTTTACAATCTTGGACTACATCTGATTATAATCTTCTTGAGTTTTAAACTCATGGTTCACGAGGCGCTGTTCGGCTTTGTTACCTGCCCTACTTACCTGCCCGTACCCTCCTTTCCTCTGGCTCCAGTCTGCTCCACATCCCCCACCCTACCATCGGTGGCCGGGCCTTCAGCCTCTCAGCCCTTAGGCTCCGGAACTCCACCCCACCAGTGCCTTCGCCTTGCTTCCTCCCTTTCCTCCTTCAAGGCCGGTCTCAAGACCTTTCTCTTTGACCGTGCCTTCAGCTCCCCTCTCGACTCTCTACCCGCTCCTTGCTCCCTTCCTTCCCTCCCCCTAACCATTTCCCCCCTGCTCAGGACCCGACCCAACTGTTGAGCGCCTTGGGACGTCCTCCCGACGTGAAAGGCGCTCTATAAATGAAATCTTGTTGTTGTTATAATTAGATTCAGTATCCCACAGGTTTGGTTATATTACGATAGTTTTGTGGTATACTGAAATTGAGCACAGCCTGGAAGGGATCCTCAACATCCAAAAGTGATCACAAGGAATCACAATATAACATACCACATGTAAAACATTTCATGTTATGGACCTCCATCTACACAGCTATAACGAAGCTGTACTGGATTCAGAAAGACAAGATTATGTTATATCCTTGCAACCCACTCTTTAAAAAATCATTCATCAAAAAATTCAGAATTGAAGTAGAATGTTCACAAATTTAGGTTGCTGTCTTGTATATCAGTCTGACTGCAAATAAGGATTCGACAGGTTAATGAAAGCACAAAAGAAATACATACAGTACTAGCCAGGAAACAGAAACAATATTCTTAATGGGTGCAGTATGAACTTAAGAGTCATGGATAACAACATTGTGCAAGCTACCACTCCACAACAATCAAATGAGAACACTGGCTGTAACTAATTACTGAATAGTGATTTTTGTATCCAACCCCATTTATAAAGTAAGTTACAGTGCATGCCCATTATATTGACGGTGCATCAATACATTTTAGAGTGCCCAACAGGGCTCAGCATCTCAACCTGACGGTTAACTTTAATGGCAAGGATTAACCCCTACTTAATATCACGGCTCTATTATTCAAATGTTTGTATTTTACACGTGTGGATACATCAAAGTTCAATAAAATGTCATTGCCTCTTATAATTTAACTTTAATCATTACCAATTTAATTATGGATCTTGTAAAAACTTGATTAAACACTTTAGATTCAAGAGTATACACATAAAGATAGTTTTCCTTTCTCTGAAGAATTTTCTTGAAGCTAAAATCTAATATTAAACTAAAGGGAGTTAATTTAATCACATTAAATACAGGACTATCACGGACACATAATCTGGAACGTAATTTTCCTTATCCATTTTACTGCTGGTTTCTTAGAGTACATGTTTTTCAAAGACTTTTACTTCACGCAAAAGTCTTGCTCAGTGCATTAGTCACATCTATTGCCTCACTGCACATCAGTGTGTCGAGCACGATTTATGGCATGATCATTTTACGGGAGTTTATTTTTATTCTTTGATAGAACTGGAATTGACTTATTTACTGCAGTCAACTCAGTGGAGGTCTGCTAGATATGGATAATCCCAAAGTAAAGTCTGATTTGACAATGCTCTTTTTATTACTCATCTTATATGCCGCAGTTTTATACACCATTTTTAATGACAAACTGTCTTCAACTTTGGATTAATTCCACTTTTCACAATACACCACCTGGTTGCAACAAATTCTTGAGACAAAATTCTGAGTCTGATTTCTCACTCAAGTCTGAAGAAAATAGCTTGTCAGTAGTTCAATCATTCCCATGTTTGCAAAAGGGTATTTACATTTCAGAATGATCTTCTATTGCGTCTACAGACCAGAAGGCAGTGCATGTGGTACAGCTATATTAGAAGAGAGATATTTCTCTAACACCAGTATAAGTATTGAAATAACCACTGTCAACTGTATACAATAATAATCCTTGCATTTGATATAATAACAACAACAAAATTACATTTGTATAGCGTCTTTCACATTGGGAGCACGTCCCAAGGCACTGGTCAGTCAGTGTTTCGGGGGGGGGGGGGGGAAGTAGGGTGATCGAAAGTATGCGAAGAGATGGATCTTGAAGAAGGCAATGGAGGGGGCGAGGCAGACAGACGGTGGGATGGAGTTGCAGAGGATAGGGGCAGAGTGGCAGAAGGCCCACCCCCTAATGGTGGGGTGGGCGAGGCGGGGGATGTGAAGCAGACTGGAGCCCGCTGAGCGGAGGAAGCGGATAGGATGGTAGGGAGTTAGGAGGTCGCAGAGGTAGGAAGCAAGACCATGGAGGGCTTTGAAGCTGAGTGATGGGAAGCCATTGTAGTTGGGCAATGATGGGGGTGATCGGGTCAAGGAGCCTGGTGTGGGAAAGGACATGGGCTGCAGAGTTCTGGATGATCTGCAGTCTACGGAGGGAGGAGTTGGGGAGGCCAACAAGCAAGGAGTTTGCATAGCCAAGCCTCAATGTTATGAATGCATATGTGAGGGTTTTGGCGGCCTGCCGTGTGAGACAGCAGAGGGGGGGTAGGCAGAGTGGGTCATGGCATGGATGGGGGTAGAAAGGATAGTTGACGGTCAACCAAGATGTCAAGGTTCCGGACTGGCTTAGGAAGGTGGAGTGTGTATCCATAGATGGATAATATAGTGCATTATCACATCATTGAGACATCTCAAAGTGCTTTACAGGATATATTGTGAAGTGAAATGACTGTGGGTGAACCGTGGAGCCAAGTGCACACAGCAGTGTCCCACAAACAGTCGTGGATTGAATGACCATTTTTTTGGGGGAGGGATTATTACCCCCCAGAAAGCGATCCTCCAATTGACTAACAACCGAGTTCCTACTTACTGCTAGCTAAACAGAGGCATGTAGAGTAAGCAAACTTGCCTAATATACAATATACAATCCATCAATGACAAGCACTGAACCACTGAAAGTGTAGTGCAATGGATCTGTGATTTGGGGGTTGAATCAAACCCAGATTTACAGTTTTAAAGTATTCTTTGCAAAGAACTTGAGTGGAATTAGTTCAGCAGTCTCAATGTAATAGATACTGTGCACAAACCACAATATAAATCTAACCATAATCCACAAGTAAACTGGCAGTCTCACTGAGACGGAGCATAATAGGATTCACTAAAGCAGGAAATGAGAAGGTTACGTTAGTGTGGGAGGATGCTCTGAGCTTGAGGTTAAGATGTAATGTTGCTACATTCTACATCTAACTTGTGCTAAGAATACTTCACACTGACATTGGTTAAAAACAGAAAATGCTTTATTCTCAGGCAGCAATATCTGTCACCTTAAAAAGCACAAAATGTATCTTGTGGAATCCTGTAGCTTACTGGTTAGAGCACTCAACTCGCAAACACAATAACCGATTGACGTAGAAATATGATTATACCTCATCAGAAAGGACTTGCATGAGGCAGTGTCATGGGCATACTTTTGGGGGGAAATCTCCTATCGTTGATGAGCTATGACCTAAACAAGCTCATCACACTTGTATGGCAGTTTTGCTTAAGGTGGACACACAGTGTTTATGGCATTTTAAATGGTTTGTGAGTGGTATCACTGAAATCTACATTCCATATTGGATCCTTTGGTAGCAAGAGTAGCTGCAACAGGTACAGCTAGTGCAGTATATATTTACAAACAGCAATTAAATTGAAGACTGCCTACTTAATTTTCAAAACAGGAATCAGTCAAGCAAAATAAGTCTGAAAATATAGTGACAAACATCAAAGAATATCACAGGAAACAAGTTAGGCCTCCCCCTACATCACCTTCCGGCTGAAACAAGTGAAACGCTTGCAATGCTACATAAATGATCAATGATTCACTACAAAGTAGTGAACTTTGTGCTATTTCCTGTAGCCTAATTCTGACCAATAAAGGGATTCCCTATATTGTTCTCAGTCAAAACATAATATAAACCAGAAAACATTGATGCAGTCTAACTTTATTTATTACAAAGTAATTGAATTTTTCTTCTCTTGATAATTTAAGACACAGCTGACTGACTTCCTTCCGTTCAGTATATTGTTGTTTCAGCTATTCTTAAGCAACACATATTGGGCTATATATTCCCATAATGGGTGCAAATCAAACAAGCATAATTTACCAATGACCAAGGGTGGATTTGCCACAGGTCCTTCAAATCATTATTTTGATAATGGGGAGATCATGTGGAAATTTAGAATCATTCCACAAGAAATCTTGTACAGGACAATGGCTTGGTCATGGCTGAATAATTATGATGAATACAATTACATAAATAAAAGCATAAATCAATTATATGGCAATTTATAATCTGTCATAATACTTAAGGGGCCTAATTATAAGAGACAAAATAAGTATCCACTGGTGGCTTTTTAGAATTTCCAACTTTACTAAGTTAGCATTGATATTAATTGAAACTAATCCAATTAACAAACTAAGAAAGACTCAGATAGCAAAATGCAGCTGAGAGTATTGCTCTCTGCAGGAGATTTTCCAGGTACCAGACTGTTTATTTCTAAATAGGCAATAATGTCCAGTGGCAATCTAACATTATACTATGATAATCTTCGGAAATAATTATTAAAAAACATTGTTATTGAATCCAGGAATCTTAGTACCACATGACACATCATATAACTTTTGTATATTTAGTCTTTTAATCTTTCTCATCCTCTCATAATTTCTGCTGCAGACAAGAGGAACCAGTTTAATACCAATTAAGAGTTTACCAATTCTGGCCAGCAATGCCTGGGAGGAAGAACAAAACAAAAATAAAGATTGATCAAATATGACAATTATCTAGTAAATACTGAAATTATGATAAATTAAATTATGTGTACATCAAGGGAAGGCAAATCCAGACATCTTTTCTGCAATTCTTAATGTCAAATAAAACAAGTTAGCCAGATCACTGTGGGTAAATTTAATGTAAAACTGAACTTCACCTGCCAAAAAAAGCATAGTTGGCTGTTGACTGTCTCGTGCAGTGTCCCTCAGGGCTCTGTCCTCGGTCCCCTCCTCTTCACCCTCTATATGCTCCCCCTTGGTGACATCATCCGCAGACATGGGGTTAACTTCCACATGTATGCGGATGACACCCAACTCTACCTTTCCTCCTCTACCCTCAACTCCACGACCACCGATGTCCTGACAGCCTGCCTGTCTGACATCGAGTCCTGGACGAGAGACAACTTTCTTCAGCTCAATGTGCGCAAAACTGAGGCCCTCCTGATTGGCTCATGTCAGCGCCTCCGCACCTCAGGCACTGACAGCGTCAGCATCCAAGGCTGCACTCTCCACCTCTCAAAGCCATCAGGAACCTCAGTGTTCTGTTCGACCCTGAGCTGTCCTTTCTTCCCCACATCCACGCCACAGCTGGCACCGCCTTCCACCACCTCTGGAACATCGCCAGACTACGGCACTACCTCACCCCTCACGCTGCTGAAACACTGGTCCACGCCTCTATCACCTCAAGGCTGGACTACAGGAACTCTCTCCTCGTCGGCCTTCCCAGCCCTCCCTCCACAAGCTGCAGGTCATTCAGAACTCTGCAACTCGTGTACTGTCCCGCACCAGGCTTCGCGACCACATAACTCCCACCCTCGCTCGCCTCCACTGGCTCCCCATCCCCCAGAGGATCGAATTCAAGATCCTCATCCTCATCTACAAGGCCATTCACGGCCTTGCTCCCTCCTACCTCTCCGACCTACTATCCCCCCACGTACCTGCCCGTACCCTCCGTTCCTCTGGCTCCAGTCTGCTCCACATCCCCCGCCCTAACCGCCCTACCATCGTTGGCCGGGCTTTCAGCCTCTCAGCCCCGAGGCTCTGGAACTCCATCCCCCAGTGCCTTCGCCGCTTCCTCCCTTTCCTCCTTCAAGGCCAGTCTCAAGACCTTTCTCTTCAACCGTGACTTCAGCTCCCCTCTTGACTCTCTAACCCCTCCTCGCTCCCTCCCTTCCCTCCCCTCACCCTGACCATTTCCCCCCTGCTCGGGTCCCGACCCAACTGTCCACCGGCTTGGGACGTCCTCCCGATGTGAAAGGCGCTCTATAAATGTAATCTTGTTGTTGTTGACAAAAGTAAAACACAGTTAAATGCAAGGATTATTAATTAATTAATATTTCTACAACAGAGTGCAATAACCTCATTTTTAGAGAAAGGATAACAGGGGTTGTCTCAGGAAGAACTTACTGTGAATGCCCTTTATTGGAATCAGATTTAAATTTAAATTACTGGAAGACAAGACTGCATACTTTCATGTTTGAAGTAAGAATGTCGATATTGAAAGATATGCAATTTCTTACCTTCCAAAATATGAGCGCTAATATTTACAAACTTAATCCTGTTGTGCAGATAACGTCGGTTGAGCTTCAAGAGGCAGGACATGAAAGCATTCTTTTCTCCTGAGCTACTGGCAATCCATCTATACACCTTGTCAAACTGCAGGTCAAATTCTGGGGCTTCCTACATGAAAAAAGTGCATTTATGATGACAATAATAATAGTCCTTGCATTTGAAATAGCACCTTATCACATCATTGAGTTGCCTCAAAACTGTTCATAGGATATACTGTAAAACGGATTCACTGTATTATGTGGGTGAAATACGGCAGCCAATTGCACACAGCAATCTTGAGGGTCGAGAGAAATATTTACCCTGTTCAAACTTTTTAAATGTCACGCTCATGTTTTCAATCTTAATTCTTGCTGATAACAGATATGGGTTACAGGCAGACACATGATTCCTCAGATTTGATATGTCAATAAAGATAAGATCAAATAGAAATTGATTATTTCTTTACTGTTAATTTGCATTTGATCGTAAAAAAGTCTTCCCTTTATCCTTTCTTTCCCCCACCTGATAGTTTCGGCTAATGCTTTTTACACTTTCCAATTTTGCTTTTTTAAATCTATGTCTTCTTTTATAAAATATAAATTATTATTTATTATACATTTAGATTACAGAATTCAACTGCTAGCCTGATTCTTTACCTGATCTTGAAATTCTTCCTCTCGCTGACATTTTCCTCCTAGTGCTCATGCCACAAATACTGGATGGCCACGTTCCTACCTTGGAGACTACCATGATTCCCATCATTTACATCCGACTGCACAAAATAATGCCAGTGTCATTCTGTCATCTATTAATTTGTTTGGGCTTGGGGCATAATTTAAAAAATAAAGCTCATAAATAGTCATGTGTTCCGCTCTATTTACAACATTCTTATTCTTCACTTTGATCCTTTGAATACATTCTGATTTCTTGTTAAAATGCCTTAAATACAGTAACTTCAGAAAAAACACATTTCAGAATCTACATTATTAGCAAATTGCCAATGTCGCTTCCTGTGCATAACAAACAGTGCAGCACACAGAAAGTGTTGTTATTGTAACTGACAACCCAGACAGTAGTCATTTATTTAGCACAGGAAGCTGGCTAGTCTGCGCTGGAAGCCAGGTCACTGTGTTTCCAGTTAGTATGGGTTCATAGTGCAACCAATGCCATAAATGAGACAGCACTAAACGGGGGTTTCCTTCTACTTCATTTCAACTTGATGATTTATTCTAAAAGATCTTCTCATACCTTATTGGGGTTCTTCCCATCAACCAGCAGCAGGTCCTCGAATGACCACCATGTCACTTGTTTGTACACACTTCCTTTATCTGCTTTTTTAAATTTCACAAGGGAGGTTTGATATGGACGATCTGTTGATACTGCACAAGAAGGTAAACATACAATCAGTCACTTTTATACTACCCTGCTGCTAGGAATGAAGAAACCACATCAACTATTCAAACTTGAACTATTAAGGCTGTTAAAGCAAAGGTGCACAATTATACACAACGCTCTGCTTATCGGCCTTCCCAGCGCCTTCTTCCACAGGCTGCAGATAATCAAGAACTCTGCAGCCCGTGTCCTCTCCCGCATCAAACTCCATGACCCCATCTCCCCCATACTCGCCTGACTCCATTGGCTCCGTATCCTTCAGGAGGATCCAGTTCAAGACCCTGGTCCTCACCTACAAAGCCCTCCATGCTCTCGCCACACCCTACCTCTGCGACCTCCTAACCCCATACCAACCCGCCCGCTCCCTCCACACAGCCGACTCCGGCCTGTTCCATGTCCCCTGACTCATCCGCCCACCATTGGCGGGAAAGCCTTCAGCCACTCTGTCCCCAACCTCTGGAATTCACTCCACCTCACCCCCTCCTTAGCATCCTTCAAGTCCTGCCTCAAAACCTTCCTCTTCGACCATGCCATCAGTCACCCCCCTCCTCCGACCCCAGCTTGGGTCTGAAATGCTGTATACTGTGTCCTGGGCCTTGGGATGTCCTCCCGACGTGAAAGGCGCTACACAAATGTAACCTTGTCGTTGCTGTAGTTGTTGTTAAGTACATAGATTTTTTCATCCCCCACCTCCTTACATTTAAAATGTGGCACCAAACTACCAAAAAGTAAAATGTTTCCTTTTTTTAAAAAAAAAGGCATTCTATTTAAAGATGTAAAAATTCCAGGTTATTGGAAATGGTTTGCACATTGTTCATAATCAACCTCATCAGAACCACTTTCAACTCACACATATCCAACCCTTCTTCATCCCATCTCGCAATGGAGTGAAGAAAAGGAAATAAATAGGAAAATTGCTGACCTGCATATGCCAGTTCTGCAGATGTATGACTACCATCATTATCCAGCTCAATACACTCTAATGAAATACAGATTAGTAGTAGTGGACACCAGCAATGTAGAGTTTATTGTTTTTTTAAAAATCTGTCTTGATATGCAGTCAATCACTTCCCCACAGGAAGGCAAAAGATAAATAAAATAAGGGATAAATAGCTTCTGTACCATACCGATTTGAAGTGACATTAGCAAAGGCTGGGAGTAATTTTGCTACAGATGGTACATAGCTCCAGAATAATAGGATACTTTTAAAACATATTGGCTAAAACACCTCCTGTGGTGAAAAATGCTCCCTTCCCACTCTGCTTCCAAATGGCAACATCGGTCACCGCCAAGCTTTTTGGCTAACTTCAGTTTGGAACAAGTCATTCACCCTCCACCTCAGTTAGTGCCTTGGTTGCTCCGGAGACCCGGAATGCATTGAAGAAGAAAAAGTGCGGTAGGTGCCTTCCCTCAAAGAGAGAGAGAGGGAGAGCATTGACAGTTGTATAAAGGCAGGGCAGAGGGCCTCCTGGGTCCCCAGAGAGGGTGGAGAGGGGCAGGCGAATGACTTTGAGATGTCTCAATGATGTGATAAGGCGCTATATCAAATGCACGGATCATTATTATTACTATTTGATGCAAACTCTTGACTTGATCCAAAAAGGTTTGGCGGTCACCAATGCTACCAGTTTGGGGGTGGGTTCAAGCCAAGATTGGGAGTGTTTGTTGTTGTTGTTTGTACTGTGGTGTACTTAGTACTTTGCCTCCTTCAAGATCCTGGTCTTCAACCATGCCATCGGCCATCCCCCTTCCCCTCCCTTCTCCCCCCCACCCCGACCCCAACTGGAGTCTGAAATGGTGTACTCTGTCCAGCGCCTTGGGACGTCTTCCCGACCTGAAAGGCGCTATACAAATGTAATCTTGTTGTTGTTGGTAGTGGTGGGGAGGGGGAAAAAAACAGCTTTTGGGGCAGGTGCCTAATTTGATTTTTTTAAAAAAAATTGTTTTAAATTAAACCTGCAAAACGCCCCTCCCCCCCCACCCACCCACCCCACCCAATTCCATTCGAAGACCTTTTCTTCTACAGCATCAAAAGCACCAACAAACCTAACTCAGGCACTTCGCCGCCAACCCACAGGAGACGCATAATTATCGGGGGCTGGCGTTTCGGTGGACCTCGGGGGAATTTTGAACCCAAAGGAAGCGACGGACCACGTATCGGGGGGGGGGGGGGTCCCCTTTTTGGGGAGCTGGTGTTTTGTGATGGGGCTGCGGAAGGAAAGAAACGGATTGGGATTCCTTGGGTCAAAGAAACCCCCCCCACCCCATCACCCCCCACCCCATCACCCACGCACCTGCGGCGCAGAGGATGCAGTTCTTCCTCTTCTTGCCCGCTTTCCAGACGAACAGCAAGCCCAGCAGCCTCTCCTCCTGCGGGGTGAAGACATCCTTTTGCAGCTGGTTCCTGATGGCGATCATTGGCGACGAATGAGGTGGTGGGTGGGCGGGGAATAACGACGACGGAAAAGAAAAGAGGTCGCTTTGCTCTTTCCTCGCACACCCTCCGCCCCTTGGGGAGAGTATGAGAGAAGAACCTCCGATGTCTGTTTGTCTGACTGACGCCGCACTTCACCAGCTCGCAATGACAGCGAAAAGGCACCCGTTATTTGTTTCTCTTCAGGGGAGGGAGGGAGGGGAGGGGAGGGTGTGAGGGGGAAGTGTCTGCAGATGTGGCTCGGTTCTGACAAGCTCGCTAATTAGCACCCGAAAGAGGAACTGTCTCTCCCCCCCCCCCACCGCGGCCCCGTCGCCTCAGCTTCCAACCGCCCCAACCGCCAGCGGAAGCGCGAGGGAAAGGGCTGCGCGTGCGGCCGCCTTCCCGCCTCGGCAGCACGGCAGCTCCTGATTGGCTGCACGCGGTGAGTGACAGCGCGTAGGGAGCGCGCGTGCATCAGGGGGTGCGCCTCCCGCCTCCAGGCCCCGCCCAGATAACGGTTTTTTTTTAAAAAAAATTTGAATGGAGCGGCGGTTGGGAGGGTCGCTGCCTCCTCTCCTCCCATTGCCACAATTCCACACTCTTCCCTCTATCCCTCCGCCTCGCCCCTTCCTTCCCCATCTTCAAGTCGCACCTGAAGACCTTCCTATTCGACCGCGCCTATGGTCACCTCCACCCCCCCACCCCCCCCACCCCGGCTCGTCGTCGTACCCCGCCACCATCGAGCTCTCTGGGACGCTACCCCGTGTGAGGAGCGCTGTGTAAATGCAAGTTGTTGTTGTTGTTAGCCTTGCTGGACCGTGTTGGTCAGCTTTAAAGTGGTGCCAAAAACAAAAATGGTGGGAAAGCAGGCTTGACTTGGAAGCGTTGCGGCGCCCAAACAAGGAGTGCCTTGAAGAACTCGGATTGAAGAATTCCTGCCCGAGGAAGATGCCTGTGGGATATCCGATCAGGTACTGTTAGCGGTTTGGGGATATAACCGCTGTTGGGTGGCGTTACCCCGGGGGTTTCGTGAACACAACGCGCGTATTATACGTCGAGGGCTTGGAATCCGCTTTGAATGGCGCACGCAAAAGTTCCGCCCACGCCCCAAAAAAAAATGCCGTCAATTCACTTCACAGTGTATTCTGTGAGGCGCTTTGAGACGTCGAGAAGACGCGAAAAGTGTTATATCAAATTCAAGGAGTATTGTTATTATCTCATGTCAAACTGATGACTGTTCTGGTTGGGGAAAGGGGGAGGTAAGCTCCTCAGGGCTGAGCTGACTCCAAGGTGAGGTGCAGTTCCCCAACGGCGCACACTGGAGCCCCCAAACCTTTGGCGGCCTTGCCAGCCTGCACCAAATACTATTCAGAATTAGGTAAGCAAAGCGCGCCCCTTCTGGGAAACTGTACCGTTCCATCCCCGGTATATTTCCACGTGCAGACCTACGTATCAGCACCTTGGGACGTTCTCCTGATGTGAAAGGCACTATACAAATGCAACTTTGTATTGTATTGTACATCTGTAGAACTACCAGTCTGGTTTGGAAACTTTTAAGCATGGTGATGAGCTTCCAAGTGTGTCAGACACCCGGCTAACCAAAAAAATGGAGTAAATTTACACAATTGCTTGGTTCTTCCATGCACGCTTGCTACCTGCTTTCCTTAAATAAAATGTCTTTTTAAAAGTTCCCTTCCACCACATTCCTTGAATAGCCTTCTGATTTTTTCAGTCAAACTTTGTTTTTCGCTCTTCTATTTTCCATGATCATAGCACTCCACCCATCTTCTTTGAAAAGCATTTCATAACCTCTTAGCCCCATCTTCTGGCCATATTTTGCTCCCTGACACTTGCCTGTTTAATGCAGATTAATGCAAAATCCAGATCTACTGCACAGCAGGTTTGCACAGTTAGCAAGTGCATTGCAGTGGCTGTACTGTGCTTTTGACCTCGCAAATATCCACCAGCATTTGGTCAGACTGGGAATTTATCCATTTATCTTTTTAAATTCACATGTAGGTCTAGTTGCCCAGGTTGGTCTTCACAGACACTCTGTCAACACTGCTGTTTAGGAAGGGAACTGGGTTTTCAGAGGTGCTGTCTTTCGGATGATAAATTAAACTGAGGTCTTGTCTACCTGTTCAGGTTGTATTTATAAGGAGTATTATTAAATACAACATAAGAAGACAACCTTGATCTCCTAAAGGATTGAGATGAATACAGAATTCGACAGGAGCACTCCTTACAACAACCCCACTAGGGTTTCAAATACTGAAAGTACCCCAAACATGTTTAATAACACCATTAAAAGAATCAATCAGCATTGAATAAATATAGCTAAACGTTAGTGGGCAGACACTGTCAATCTTCACTTGAGATCAAAGTAAAATGTAAATGCCGATTCAAGATTTGCCTGTCTGCAGAAACAACAATGTCCCAGTTGTCATTTGATATTTTTGTTTTGCACGGAAAAATACGTCGGCTTTGAGTGTTACTTCATCAAGGGGAGGTGGAATATACGCCTCTGGTATCAGTTGCCTAATTTAAAGGGTGGAAAATCCTTGGACACTCTCCTAAGCCTTCAAAAGTTTAATTTAATAGCAAACAGAAAATCAAAGGCATCAAAGCCTCCCGCCTCCATTCCTGCAAATGTAACATAAAACAGAATGGTAAACATTGTACCCACTGTGGTAATTTATGACTGGTTGAGTAAGTCTTCTGAGGTTATTCTCTGTGCAGATCTCTGACTCCACCCCTCTGTAATGAAGAAGTTCCCTGAATCCCATTGCCTTCTTCCCCTGCCTTCAAACTCTTAAAAGCTATCTGTTTGGGTCTGCCTTTGGTCATGAGCTGGGCCAATAGATAAATGCGGCCGCAATTGGGCGGAGTGGCTAGAAGCCATGCAGCGCGACGGACCTGCCAGAGACCAAACACCAATACGTCCCGCAAAAGACACCCTGAACAAGATGGTGACACGGACCTGAGGGGAACGACCTTTAGCGGTCAGCAAAGCGAGAAGCGGACCGAGTAGAAGCAACCGCCGCCTCTGCCGGCTATTTACCTGACGTCATTGTGGGCGGAGCGGCTCCGGACGAGCATGCGCAGTGGTGCGCAAGCGGGAAATGGGCTTCACTCCACTCGGAGGCCCCGCTGTTTCGGATTGTCTGTATGTGTTTGTGAGTGTCTCTATGTCTCTTTGTGTCTGAGTGTGTCTCTCTCTATTTGTGAGTGTGGGTCTCTCTCTGGGTATTTGTCTCCGTGTGTACCTGTGTCTGTGAGTGTTTGTGTCTCTCTCTCTGGGTCTGTCTATATGTGGTGCTGGGCCATGAGAGGCAGGAGTTGGTGAGCTCCTGTAGCCCCGCAGTCAGGCCACTGGTACTGAGTGTGCTTTTTGGCGGATCTCCAGGCCCTTCAGGCCTGCTGGTGCCTGCTGGTCTGGCTTCCTCGTCCCCAAGTCCTCCACTCCACCCTCGGCGGCCGTACCTTCAGCCACTATGCTGTAATGCGCTGGAACTGCCTTCTTCACTCCTTTCATCTCGCTCCCTCCCTTCCCATTTTCAAGTCTCTGCTGAAGACCATTCTTTTTGACCGTGCCTTTGGTCACCTTCCTCCCTCTCCCCCTGGCTTGGTCCTGGGATCCATTACTGTAAAGTGCTCTGAGACGCTGTCCGGCATGGAGGACGCTGTATAAATCCAAGTTGTTGTTGTTGCTGGAGTGTACATTTTGATGTGGTCCAGCCAGGTCTGCTGGTGGACCGTTAGATCACGCTTGAACCAGGTGCGTTTGGCAGCCCGCACCGGACACTTGGAGTGGAGGTGGCTGGTGTACCAGGATGAGGTTCGTGAGTAGGAGGCAGTTTGGGAGGTGAGGGGGGACAAAGGGCATCACGAGTGATGGAGTGGGAGTTGTGGAGGAGAGTGAACGAGGAGGATTAATCAGTGCGGGAGGTAGGCCAGAGTGGGAGGAGTTCAGATGACTCCATGGTAGCCAAGAGGGATTATGGGGAGATTTTTTTCCTGGGACGGTAGGAGATGGATGTGGGTTTGGTGGCAGTGGGGAGAGGGATTGAGATGTTAAAGGAGATGAAATGGTAATCAGAGATGGCTTTGTCTGTGATTGTGATATCCGAGACACTGAGCCTGGGTAATCACCAGGTCGAGTGTGTGGCCCTGAATCTGGGATGTGGAGGAAGAGGTTGTGAGAGGAGAGAGAAGTCCGAGGAGATGAAGCAGGAGGGGGTGAAGTGAAGGTTGAAGTCGTTGAGGATGAGGAGGCGTTCAACAACAACAAGATTACATTTGTATAGTGCCTTTCACGTTGGGAGGACGTTCCAAGGCGCTGGACAGGGTACAGCATTTCAGACCCGAGCTGGGTCAGGGAGGGAGAAGGGAGGGGAGGGGTGGCATGGTTGAAGAGGAGGGTCTTGAGGTGGGACTTGAAGGAGGCTAAGGAGGTGGCGAGGTAGAGTGTTTGGGGGATGGAATTCCAGAGGTTGGGGGCAGAGTAGCTGAAGGCTCTCCCGCCAATGGTGGGGCCGGTGGGTTGGGGGACGGGAGCAGGTTGGAGCCAACTGAGTGGAGGGAGTGGGCGGGCTGGTAGGGGGTTAGGAGGTCACAGAAGTAAGGTGGGGTGGGGCCATGGAGGGCTTTGTAGGTGAGGACCAGGGTCTTGAACTGGATTCTCTGAAGGATAGGGAGACAATGGAGTTGGGCGAGTATGGGGGAGATGGGGTCACGGAGTTTGGTGCGGGAGAGGACACAGGTTGCAGAGTTCTGGATTTTCTGCAGCCTGTGGAGGGGGGAGTTGGGAAGGCCGACAAGCAGGGCATTTGCATAGTCGAGCCTGGAGGTGATGAAAGCATGAACAAGAGTTTCAGCGGCCGGAGGGTTGAGGTGGTGGTGGAGTCGGGCGAAGTTACGGAGGTGAGGGAAGGCAGAGCGGGTCATGGCTTGGATGTGAGGAAGAAAAGACAGTTGAGGGTTGAACAGGACACCTAGGTTCCTGACTGTCTTGGTGAGTTGAAGTGTGCAATCATGGAGGTTGATGCTGCCAGAGCCTGAGGTGCAGAGGGAAGCTAAAAGGGTGGAGACGTCAGAGATGAAGGTGGGGGAGGTTTTGGGGGGGGCGGTAAATCAGTAGAATTTTGAGGGTAAGATTGGAGGGATGGTAAAGTGTAAGGTGCTCGAATGAGGGAATGAGCCAGAGGAGTAAGGGGATAGAGCAACGCTGAGTGCCATGGTTGGCCCGTCAAAGGATTCCCAGGATGGAGCAGAGGGAGGCTGCGGGACGGTCAAGTGGGGATAGATGAGGAGGACTGAGAGAGGACAGAGCGGGAGAGTTGCAGGGATGGGGGCATTTTTGGGGAAGGACAGCTTGGATTGGGGGCGGCAGTCAAAATGCACATGCCAAAACTTGAGGCAGGCGGTTAGCGGGGCACAGTCAGCCCGCAGACGTGGAGACTGCAGGGACTAGAGGCAGCGCAGAGGAGGGAGAGTGGTCCGGGCACTCATTGTGTTGTCCAGGTTACCCAATCTGGGAAACACCACCTGCAGGGGACAGACAGAGGAGGGGAAGGAGATAGGATAAGGAACATAAAGGATAAAGGACATTCACTGACTGGATGTATTTTTAAATCAGTTTAGTTAGTTTTTACATTATTCTGCTGGCATTATGACTTTCAGAGGATCTGTCCTTTCATTTATTCAGTCTTATATTTTTAAATATTCAAAACTTGAGGTTTTCTTCCACTAGTTGCCAATTTTTACGCTGTAAATAATCCTTAACATCAATAAGAGCTTTTTATACTTTATTATTTATACAAGTGCTCTTTGCTGTGTTCCTTCACATATGCACTTCTCCTGACATTTCCATTATTTTTATTCTATCTGAAATTAATACCACTTCTGTTTGAAAATATACATAACCGGACAGTAAAATTTGTATTGGTTTCAGCAGAAATATAGTTGTTGC